GCCAGGATGGGTAAGGAATGGTGTCCTAGCCTCTGTTTGTCAGAGGGTGGAGCTGGATGGCAGGAGAGAGATCACTTGATCATTGCCTGTTGGTCCACTCCCTCTGGGGCACCTGGCATTGGCCACTGTCGGTAGACAGGATACTGGGCTAGATGGACCTTTGGTCTGACCCGTTCTTATGTTCTTTGTTTCTATGGGGAATTTGCCAATGCAATATCACTGTCTTCCTTTTAAACAAATAAAACTAAAACTAAAAAAAAAAAAAGCAATGGCTGTTGAAAATAGCAATTCCAGTCCTAATAACCACTGGGAAGCATTTCTTGCTCAATTTATTCTACTTTTTCTACAGCAAGTTATAGTGGATCAGTATATTTGATTTGGGAGAAATGAAGTAACAGCTGCCCAAATTGTGCTTGAGCACTCCTGAATTTTGAGGGTGTTCAAATCTGGAAGGCAGGTGCTAGATTCCCTTTCTGAATATTAGCTAAATCTGGAAAGGAAAAGTCAATTTCTGCTTCCATGGCTCAGAAGTGGAAATCCTCCTACGTGCCTGGTACTGTATCTAAAGCTGCCCAGGTCCAGAGCCTCCCCTCCCTTACTTTTCATTTTAAATTCTAGTGGGATCCACGTACCTCCCTTGCTAGGCTTCAGATAGAGAGGGGCACTGTCCATTTAGTCCACCCAATTCTTTCTTTGGGGGAGAGCCCAGGGCGGGGTCGGCAGGAGGTGCGGGGGGGAAGAGCCCAGGGCTGGGGCGGCAGGAGATGTGGATGGGGGCCAGAGCTGGGGCAGCAGGAGGTGTGGGTGGGGGGAGAGCCCAGGGCTGGAGCAGCAGGGGGGGGCAGGTGGGGGCCAGAGCTGGGGCAGCAGGTGGGGGAGAGTCCAGGGCTGGGGCAACACGGGGGTGCGGGGGAAGCCCAGGGCTGGGGTGGGGGGGCGGCAAAAAAACTAGAGCTGGCTCTGTCCCTACCGTTCACAGCAAGCTGCAGCATGAGGTTTCAGTTCCACACTCCTTCCCCCTCCCTTTCCTGTTAATTGCGGCCGAGGGAATGCTGGGAAATGTAGTTCTTTCCCTGCTCCAGGGCTGGCTCTATAGGCAGGGAGCTAACCAAGGAACTACAGCTCCCAGGGCCCCCTGTTGGTTCTCAGCTCCCATGCTGGATTCTTGCGCCCCTGCAAATTTGCCGCCCCAAGCAACTGCTTGCTTTGCTGGCGCCTAGAGCTGGCCCTGTGTAGAACAGAATAACTTCGACTGCTTCTCTACAGTACATGAATTTCTGACTGAAATAAATTCTACAGTCCATGAAGAAGTTTCCAGCACCATTTTACAGCACTTACGTGACCTGCAGGCCTCTTTATTAGAATATTTTCCTACAACTACTAATGATAATGCTTGGGTTCGAAATCTGTTTGTAATTACAGCCAAACCAGTTGGCTTTACTGCGCATGATTATGAAAGCCTAATTGACTTAATTTCTGACTCTGATTTGAAACAAAAGTTTAAGGATCGTCTGCTGAATAATTTTTGGAGCAGCCTAATAGAAGAGTACCCTAATGTGACTAAACGTGCAGTTCGAATGCTCCTTCCTTTTGCTACAACTTATTTGTGTGAGACGGGATTTTTGTATTATACTGCAACAAAAACCAAATATAGGAATAGACTTGATGCTGCGTCCGACATGAGGATTCAACTTTCCAGCATTATTCCTAATATTAAGCGAATTTGTGATAGAAAAATGCAGAAACACCAATCTCATTAAATCCAAACTTGTATTTCTGTTTATAAAAACAGATTTTCCTAGTAAAAATCTAATTTGTTTGGTGTTTGTGTATATATAAAAACAGGTTTTTTTAAGTAGAACACTGTTTTTAATTTTGACTCTTGCACTTGATTTTTGTACTACTTTATATGCGCTTTCCAGTTAGAAATTGTTAGTTCAAGTTATTTTAAATTTGTATTTTTGCTTTGTTTTATAAAATAAAATATATTTGAGCATAAATAATGCAATTTTTTATTTGAAAACCGACTACAAAATAATATTATAAGTGTTCCGTAATAGGCTAAAAAGTGTTCCGTGGCCAAAAAAGTTTGGGAAACGCTGCCATAGAGTTTTGTACTGAAATGGAGCACTGTGTAGAAGTTGTAATGGAGGAAGCTGGAAATATCAGCTGAGACTTTTGGCACCAGGAAAGGTGTTGGTGGCCATTTGTGATGTGGGATAAGCACAATAGCTGGATATTTCTGCTAAAAAGATCCATCATGTTGAAATTTTAAATTGCCATCATGAGGTTTCAGAGTAAACACCCCACTGAGATCGATGGGACCATTCACACTTTTCAGAGATACAGTTTGGGGTTGGGATCAGAATCAAGCAGACACATGGCATCAGTTTAAACTGCCATTACATTTTCAAAATTTCAAATTTAATTTTCATAATTAAGAGGACTTGAAGTTAATTATTTTTCTATTGAAATGAAAGCATAGATTCTAGGGCACAGTTCAGCATCGAAAGGTTGGATTCTGTGTCAAATTCTGCAGAGTTACAGAATACATGGTATCATGGATTCGATTTCAAGAGTCCATTTGTCTGTGGCCAAGATAGTCCAGACTGGTGCTCTTGCAGAGGGATCTGTAGGGATTGGACCTGCTGGATAGCAAAGATTTACATGGTTGTTGAAAGGGCCTTTAATCTCTAGTTCTGGAGGAAAAAAATGTTCTTGAGATATCTTGGTAGGTAGAATTAATTATAGGTACAGTAAAATACTTTCTTCCTTCTTGCCAGTAGAGTATCTGTATGTTAACATTTTTTTGTAGTGAGAGCTCTTCTCTTGTAAGATGTTACTGTTTAGTGTAATGGGATTGGAAATCTTAGTTTTCCCTTGTTATGGGATTTTTTGAAGGGATTCTTTTTAAAGAAGTTTCTAAGATTTATGGAGAAAATACAAGAGTCACAGCAGCCTTAATTTTTTTTTCCCCCCCACAGGCTGCTTGATGCTCTGAGTTGCACAGTGGTGTTTGGGGGAGGCTTGGAGTCTGGGTATAGATGACAACGAAGCCTCTCTCTTTCCTCTGAGGAGGACATCACTTTAGAATGTTTTCATTTTCTGGATTATCCTGTTTTTGATTTGTTCTTCTCAGGGGAAGATGAAAGAAGTGGACTGGTCCAAATGGAATGGGTTTCCTCAGATGGCACCTATCTAAGGTCTCACAAAGAGTCTCAGAGAATTACATTTTGGCAGTGGAAAATCAATTAATTCTGAACTTATAGTGAGAAAGTGAACTAAGGGCCTGATCCTGCTTCCACTGAAATCAATAGTGAAACTTCAGCAGAGATAAGAGAATTGACCAACTTAGTGCAAGATCTCTTCTCTGCATGTCTAACAGACCATGAAGTCTTAGAACCTTCCTGTTTCTAATGGAAAGATTAGCTCAGTGAATTAGAGTCTGACTTGTCAATTAGACCTTCTCAGTAGGGGGAGGAGAAGTTTAAGATGGAAGGAGCAACACTGGTAGAGACAACCCCAGCTGCCTCCCCCTCCCAAAAAAAGATCAACAGGCAGTACAGGCAATGATGGTATCAACTGCATGGCTGTCAGGAGCACTGGGCGCCAAAAAAGGGAGTGTGGAAGAACTGGACAGATGAAAAGAGGTAAAAATAAGAAAGGAGCAAATTAAGAGATCTGCTTCCTTGTCGGGGAGACAGTTAAACTGGAGTATGGTGCCTGACTGGCAGTTTAAGTAACACCAAAAATTTCAGCTGTATCCATCATCTCCATGGGTCAGCCCAACCTACATGTTGTTTCAGCACTGATGGAAGTACAAGCCAACAAGACTGTCCAAGGCTAAGTTTTAGTGCTGATTCACAAATGAGAGTTATGAGTATCTCTAAAGTCAACACGTGGACTGATATATTGATATCAGATAACAGCCTTGTTTAAAAAAAATGGTTTAGCATAGATACTCGAAGAGTGAGGTTGTGCCCTCTATTGGCTGAAAAATGAGGGGTTTCAGTGTGTATGATTTCATAATTTAAACATGTCCTATCATCCCTTGATACATTATACCACTTTTAGAATAGCATCCCAATCATCACCTGAAGACTGTTCAACCAAATTCCTTTCCCCAAACATTTTAAAGCCCAAATATTGCATTCTTGCCTCCACATTAACATATAGGAATTTGAAATCTCAGCAGATTTTTCCCCCTATATTGGATAAATTTATCTAAAGAACATTGTTCCCTTCCTAAAGTTAAATAAAGCACAGCATATGCCTAACATGTTAATATTTCTAGAAGTGAACTGCTGACACAGTCTTCAGATGGCAATGATTTTAGTCACTATGGAAATAGATTGGATTTGTACCATTTATTTAGGATGTGAAAGGGTCTTTATCTTAATACCATTCCTTTCAGACTCAAGTCTCTCTACAGGAAAATATTCCAATCGATATCCATTTGTAATTACCACACACTTAGGGTAATTAATAAAATATTAATAAATTTTCTCCTGAATCTGAAGACTAAAGGCATGAAAAAGACATGACCATTCCTACTTAGTGTATCAATCGATAGAAGAGCATGAGGAACCCTGTTTCTTTCCTCCTCCTCTCACCATATCAAATGTACCAATTTCTAACTGTATGTCCAGAGCACAATGTGTTATTATTGAACAACTTAACTACTTATAGATCCACAAACAAGCAACCAGGAGAAGAGATGCAATGACTTTCAATGCCAACAAAACTTTACTGGACACTCATCAATTAACAATGGTTTCGGAAGAGAAACTAATTCCTGCCATGCTGCAGGTGAATGGACTAGGAAAACAATTCATAATCCATTCCAACTCAAATAATAGGTGTAGTATAAAATCCTCTGATTCAGCCTTTTATAGGTTTCGGGGTATAGTATTTCATTGCACTATAACGCTATGGTGCTCCTTTAGAGAAGCATGACATACACAGGGACAAGTTATACAACATTTATTTTATCTTCTTACCAAAGGAACCCTTCCTACTAGTAGAGATTCAGTTTCATTATGTAGTGCCTTCACATTGACAGCAATTTCAATGGCAGTATTTCTGGTAAGACTCTGGGGAATAGAAGCAAAACAGTCAAATAAGTTAAACTGTGAGCACAGGTACATTGAGTTTACAATCCCAACCTTGGCCAGTTTTTCCAAAAGGAACCAGCTTGATCCAGCTCTGCTTGACAAGTTTATTCTACCAGACCAAAGGGAATAAGATACAGAGCAATGTACAGAGGCCAAAATCTGATCTCAGATGCATCTCTACAACTGCCACTGAAGCTTGTGGGAATTTCACCTGTTTATTTAGGGGCAGAACAGACCGTATTAGTTTACATAAGAATCCAGAATGGAAGAGGGGGAAATGTACTGTATTTGCTGGTTGGTTTTCACCTGACTCTGTTTACTGAGGGCTCAGATGTGCTAGAGTATCAAGTGACTAGCCACATGTTCTTTATGGCTGGCTAAGGCCACTAAAGAAACTCTGGGCCTTTTATTAACAAGGATCATTAATGAGGATTGTTCACATCACACTTGAGGGGGTGAGCTGCCACACTTTAACAAGCAGTGGTTAGCCTGCATAGTTACTATGGTGATGAGGGCTTAAGTAGATTATGTTAGGTTAGACAAAATTGGACCGACAAACTCATGCTCATGAAATCATGTTAGTGCCCAGATCCTGCAAAAGCTCAAATTGTGGGGGTTGGGCTGGGAGATAAGGAGCTCAGTTCTGCTCCTCCTGAAATTCTCCCACTAGCACCATGTCCTCCATTAAGATGTATGTGCATCTGTGTGAGTGTGCCCACATGACTGTACCTGGGTGTAGTTCTGTGTCCATCTCCCAGCACTCTGAGTCATGCCCTTAATGCTATGCTCTGCTGTGCCCCTGTATCTTCCTTTGCCCCCCTCTATTTCCAATATGCTTAATGTCCCACTCCCACTTAGGTCCAGTTTCCACAAAAGGGAATGTTTTTCCACCCAGCAGTACCTTCCTCCTCCCCATTGAGGAGGGTGAGATGGGAGCTGTCAGGTATCCTCTGCCTCTTCCAATGTGCTCCAGGTCTGGAGGAAGGGAGTCTTTCTCCCCCTTCCTCTTCCCTCTGGTTGCCCCTGCTGGTGCTGCCTCTGCCTTTCAGACTCACTGAAGTAGAGTCTCAACAGAGCCCATCAGCTATTAAGTGGCCCTACAAGCATAAAGAGGGGGTGCTGCGGCTGCTGCTGCAGGCGCAGGAGAAAAAGCATGGTTGGTTTCCTCCCCATCCCATTCGGTGGTTGTGCCTATGTCACACTCTTAAAGTTAAGCATGTTTGCAGGATCAGGAGCCTGGGATATCAATTACCTCAGCAGTTAACATGCTAGCCACTGGAAAATGGTGACTGGGACTACGGGACTACTCCAATGTCTCCAGAAACACTTCTGCACACAGGGGCTACAGTTGATTTATTATTAAATAAGGCTTTGTTGTTCCTTTACCTCAGGAAACCTTGGATTGGCTTTATTTAATGCATGTGAACACGCATTGACAGCATGAGCCAGCTCCTGTTCCAACAGGCTGTGTATTTTTGCTGCTTCACAGATTCTACAAAAATATGAAAAACAGGAAAGGTACTTTGTCACCTTCTTTTACGACCAGTTAAAATGTGATTAAAATTAAAAAATTAAAAAACATTGACAGAACATTTACACTAACTGTCCTAGAGTCCTATGTATATTTCTACATATCTAAAGCTTAAATATAAGTATCACCTTAGACAACAAAGCACTCTGCTCTCTTGTCTAAATGACATTCTTAATACAGAAGATCTGCTCTGCTTGAGGAACGTGTATTGTCTTGACTGGCATGTCATCCTACCAGCAATGGGTACATATAGATTATACTGATTAAACCAGAAATATTCATTCACATAATTCATACAGGAAACACATTCTGAAGAGAATTATGATGGTGGTGTCATGTGACAATCTGCATATCCTGTTAGTGATGCGTAATTATAAGAGGACAATCCCCTTCAAATGCAACATAAAACTGAATTTGATCAATTGTGATCATTAAAATTCTAATGGCACTTACAATCTAAGTACATTTTTTTACAACAGTAAAGGTATTAACCCAGAGGTGGGCAAACTACGGCCCGCGGGCCACATTCGGCCCACGGGACCCTCCTGCTCAGCCCCTGAGCTCTTGGCCCAGGAGGCTACCCCTGGCCCCTCCCCTGCTGTTCCTCCTCTCCCACAGGATGGGGCAGGGGTTCCAGGGGGGCAGTCAGGAATGGGGGGGGGTTGGATGGGGCGGCGGGGAGACAGTCAGGGGCAGGGTTTCCGGGGACGGTCAGGGAGAAGGAGTGGTTGGATGGGGCAGGGATCCCAGGGGGGCAGTCAGGAAGGAGAGGAGGGGTTGGATGGGGCAGCAGGGGGCAGTCAGGGGCGGAGGGTCCGGGGGCCGTCAGGGGACAGGGAGGAGTGGATGGGGCAGGGGTCCCTGGGGGTGGGTGGGGGCATCAGGGGACAGGGAACAGGGGGGGTTGGATGGGGCAGGAGTCCCAGAGGGGCCATCAGGGGGCGAGAAGCAGAGGGGGACGAATAGACGGTGGGGGCCGGGCCACGCCTGGCTGTTTGGGGAGGCAGAGCCTCCCCTAACCGGCCCTCCATACAATTTTGGAAACCTGATGTGGCCCTCAGGCCAAAAACGTTGCTCGCCACTGTATTAACCTATGACCTGGCTAAATTTCTTATTTACATTATGTCTACATAAATTCCCCCTTTCTGCCTACCTGAGTCATCCCTGCAGTTTAAACTGAATATGCTGTTCTACAATTCCTGTCCTAAACTTGTGCAGTTAAACAGTTGCTCTAGCAGTGTCTGGTTCATGACATGATTTCTGTATTATAGCATTTGAGACAGTGAGCCCCATAATACAGTACACTGTAAACTGGTATTTTCACTTGTTCGTAACAGTCTCAAAAACATTTTTTAAACTGAAAATATCTCTGAATCTCTGCCCTAAGGTGAGCATTTTAAAAAACATATACAAAACTGGTTCGGCGGTTTTTCAAGTTGAGATTGATGGGATGACAGGAGGGAAAGTAAAAATTCCACACACATATGTTGCAACTGAAATTTTGCACTTGCACAACACAGAAGGCTCTAGTTAGAAACATCAAATGTGGTGCTATCCTAGACATTGCTGAACCAGGAAAAGCAATCCAAGTTCGAAGACAATCCCTGTTTTAAAATTATGAAGGTCTGAAAACAGTGTGTGTGTCTGCATATGTGTGATAAAACATTTTAAATCCAGAGACTCTCCACTAGATATCGAGAGAGGCCCCTCCCTAAACACATCTATCATCTCAGACATAAAATATCTCTCATTCAGCATCATCACTTAGGGTGCCTTTGTAGCAAGACTAAGGGTATTTACACTATATTCTGTTGAAAGATATCATTTGAAACAGAAAATGGGATAAAATGCAACATGAGTTTGCCGAAGACAGATCATGCTAGACTAAGCCATATGTTTCTCTGATAAGATAACTGATTTTTAAAGACAAGAGAAATGCAGTAGATCTAATCTATCTGGACTTCAGTAAAGCATTTGACACAATGGACTATTATTAGTTAAGATAGGGATTAATATCGGAATTGGAAACTGGGTAAGGAACTGGCTAAAGAGGGGACGACAACAAGTTATGCTGAAAGGAGAGCTATCAGGCTGGAGAGAGGTTACTAGTGCAGTTCCTTAAGGATTGCTCTTGGGACCAATCTTATTTAATATTTTCTTCAATGATACTGGCACAAAAAGTAGGTGTGTGCGAATGAGAAGAGCTAGTTAAACTAAAGGACAACATTTTTGCGAACAGGGGCTGCTATCAGGGAGTTTCGCAAGGGAGTTTGGAAGGGGAGTGGGAAGGGGGCGAGGGTCCCTTGCCGGTTCTATCTGTTTTCCCTTTATTCCCCTTAAAACCTATAAACCAGCTACATTCAAAACTTCTTGCTTAAACAACCCTTTCAGCGGACAGGGGGCTGCAGACGGGAGTTTGACAGAGGGAGGCTTACGATGGTTAGGAAGACCCGCAACACCTGTGCCAGCACTGCTTCTGTCTCCTCCACCTGCACCTGTAGCCAGACAGAGCGCCTGAGCATGGATGCTTCTACCCAGATCCTGGTGTGGTTTTGCAGAGACTGTAACTTGTAATTTCCACTTACTGCTATCCAGGCTGGGGGGACCATCCAATGTGAAAGGTGCCTGCTGGTGGAATCTCTCAGGCAGGTGGGAGAGCTACAGGAGGAGGTGGCTAGGTTGAGGAGCATCCGAATCCACAAGCAATTCCTGGACAGTGTCCATGTGGAGACAGCTGAGGTAGCTGTCCCAATACACAGGACTGCTGATACACCACTGGTGGAGGAGGAGATGGCTCAGGGTGGACACTGGCAGCTGGTTACTTCTGGCAGCAGGCAGTGCTCCACCCCTGCTCCGAACCCTCCCGCCATGGTAATAGGTAACCGTTATGCTCTTCTTGATACAGGAAAGAAGGAATCACCCCCTACAGTAAAGGAGAAGAAGCCTCGTACCCCTAAGGCTGGGAGGTCTGCTGCCACCACTGCGAATAGGAAACGTAGGGTAGTGGTGGTCGGAGACTCTCTGCTGATGGGGACGGAGGCACCCATCTGTCGCCCTGACATTTCATCTTGGGAGGTATGCTGCCTGCCGGGAGCCCGTATCCGAAATGTTACGGAGGCATTGTCAAGGATTATCCAGCCCTCTGACTACTACCCCATGCTACTCATCCATGTGGGCACAAATGATACTGTGCGGTGTGACACTGAGCGGATCAAGAGTGACTACAGGGCTCTGGGAGTATGGGTGAAGGAGTTTGGAGCGCAGGTGGTATTCTCTTCAATTCTTCCTGTCAAAGGTAGGGGCCCAGGCAGAGACAGATGCATCATGGAGGTGAATGCCTGGCTGCGAAGATGGTGTCGCCAGGAGGGCTTTGGCTTCCTAGACCACGGGATGCTATTCGAGGAAGGACTGCTAGGCAGAGATGGCGTTCACCTTTCGAGGAGGGGAAGGACCCTATTTGGACACAGACTGGCTAACCTAGTGAGGAGGGCTTTAAACTAGGTTCGACGGGGACAGGTGAGCAAAGCCCACAGGTAAGTGGGGAACAGAGACCTGGGAGATGGGTCGGAAACGAGAGGGAGTGTGGGCTATATTGGCAGAGAGAAAGGAGGGTCAGGACAAAACTGGGAGGAAAGATCAAACCAGTATCTTAGATGCCTATATACAAATGTGAGAAGTATGGGTAATAAGCAGGAAGAACTGGAAGTGCTAATAAATAAATACAACTATGACATTGTTGGCATCACTGAAACTTGGTGGGATAATACACACGATTGGAATGTTGGTGTGGATGGGTACAGCTTGCTCAGGAAGGACAGAGAGGGGAAAAAGGGAGGAGGTGTTGCCTTATATATTAAAAATGTACACACTTGGACTGAGGTAGAGATGGACATAGGAGACGGAAGTGTTGAGAGTCTCTGGGTTATGCTAAAAGGGGTAAAAAACAAGGGTGATGTCATGCTAGGAGTCTACTACAGGCCACCTAACCAGGTGGAAGAGGTGGATGAGCCTTCTTTTAAACAACTAACAAAATCATCCAAAGCCCAAGATTTGGTGGTGATGGGGGACTTCAACTATCCGGATATATGTTGGGAAAATAACACAGCGGGGCACAGACTATCCAACAAATTCTTGGACTGCATTGCAGACAACTTTTTATTTCAGAAGGTTGAAAAAGCTACTGGGGGGAAGCTGTTCTAGACTTGATTTTAACAAATAGGGAGGAACTCGTTGAGAATTTGAAAGTAGAAGGCAGCTTGGGTGAAAGTGATCATGAAATCATAGAGTTTGCAATTCTAAGGAAGGGTAGAAGGGAGAACAGCAAAATAGAGACAATGGATTTCAGGAAGGCAGAGTTTGGTAAGCTCAGAGAGCTGATAGCTAAGGTCCCATGGGAATCAAGACTGAGGAGAAAAACAACTGAGGAGAGTTGGCAGTTTTTCAAAGGGACACTATTAAGGGCCCTAAAGCAAGCTATTCCGCTGGTTAGGAAAGATAGAAAATGTGGCAAAAGACCACCTTGGCTTAACCACAAGATCTTGCATGATCTAAAAAATAAAAAGGAGTCATATAAAAAATGGAAACTAGGACAGATTACAAAGGATGAATATAGGCAAACAACACAGGAATGCAGGGGAAAGATTAGAAAGGCAAAGGCACAAAATGAGCTCAAACTAGCTACAGGATTAAAGGGAAACAAGAAGACTTTTTATCAATACATTAGAAGCAAGAGGAAGACCAAAAACAGGGTAGGCCCACTGCTTAGTGAAGAGGGAGAAACAGTAACAGGAAACTTGGAAATGGCAGAGATGCTTAATGACTTCTTTGTTTCGGTCTTCACCGAGAAGTCTGAAGGAATGCCTCACATAGTGAATGCTAATGGGAAGGGTGTAGGTTTAGCAGATAAAATAAAAAAAGAACAAGTTAAAAATCACTTAGAAAAGTTAGATGCCTGCAAGTCACCAGGGCCTGATGAAATGCATCCTAGAATACTCAAGGAGCTAATAGAGGAGGTATCTGAGCCTCTAGCTATTATCTTTGGAAAATCATGGGAGACGGAAGAGATTCCAGAAGACTGGAAAAGGGCAAATATAGTGCCCATCTATAAAAAGGGAAATAAAAACAACCCAGGAAACTACAGACCAGTTAGTTTAACTTCTGTGCCAGGGAAGATAATGGAGCAAGTAATTAAGGAAATCATCTGTAAACACTTGGAAGGTGGTAAGGTGATAGGGAACAGCCAGCATGGATTTGTAAAGAACAAATCATGTCAAACCAATCTGATAGCTTTCTTTGATAGGATAACGAGTCTTGTGGATAAGGGAGAAGCTGTGGATGTGGTATACCTAGACTTTAGTAAGGCATTTGATACGGTCTCGCATGATATTCTTATCGATAAACTAGGCAAATACAATTTAGATGGGGCTACTATAAGGTGGGTGCATAACTGGCTGGATAACCCTACTCAGAGAGTTGTTATTAATGGTTCCCAATCCTGCTTGAAAGGCATAACGAGTGGGGTTCCGCAGGGGTCTGTTTTGGGACCGTCTCTGTTCAATATCTTCATTAACGACTTAGATATTGGCATAGAAAGTACGCTTATTAAGTTTGCGGATGATACCAAACTGGGAGGGATTGCAACTGCTTTGGAGGACAGGGTCATAATTCAAAATGATCTGGACAAATTGAAGAAATGGTCTGAGTTAAACAGGATGAAGTTTAACAAAGACAAATGCAAAGTGCTCCACTTAGGAAGAAAAAATCAGTTTCACACATACAGAATGGGAAGAGACTGTCTAGGAAGGAGTACGGCAGAAAGGGATCTAGGGGTTATAGTGGACCACACACTAAATATGAGTCAACAGTGTGATGCTGTTGCAAAAAAAGCAAACATGATTCTGGGATGTATTAACAGGTGTGTTGTGAGCAAGACGCAAGAAGTCATTCTTCCGCTCTACTCTGCTCTGGTTAGGCCTCAGCTGGAGTATTGTGTCCAGTTCTGGGCACTGCATTTCAAGAAAGATGTGGAGAAATTGGAAAGGGTCCAGAGAAGAGCAACAAGAATGATTAAAGGTCTTGAGAACATGACCTATGAAGGAAGGCTGAAAGAATTGGGTTTGTTTAGTTTGGAAAAGAGAAGACAGAGGGGACATGATAGCAGTTTTCAGGTATCTAAAAGGGTGTCATAAGGAGGAGGGAGAAAACTTGTTCACCTTAGCCTCTAAGGATAGAACAAGAAGCAATGGGCTTAAACTGCAGCAAGGGACGTCTAGGGTGGACATTAGGAAAAGTTCCTGTCAGGGTGGTTAAACACTGGAATAAATTGCCTAGGGAGGTTGTGGAATCTCCATCTCTGGAGATATTTAAGAATAGGTTAGATAAATGTCTATCAGGGATGGTCTAGACAGTATTTGGTCCTGCCATGCAGGCAGGGGACTGGACTCGATGACCTCTCGAGGTCCCTTCCAGTCCTAGAATCTAGGAATCTATGAATAATCAGCATAAGGAAAAAAGGGCCATGAATAAATTAGGCTGGAAATTAGAAGAAGGTTTCTAACCATCAAAGAAATGAAGTTCTGCAACAGTCTCCCAATAGTAGTAATGGGGGCAAATAATCTAACTAGTTTTAAGATGGAGCTTGATAAATTTATGGATGAGATTGTATGATGGCATGCCTGTGATAGTACGGGACTGGACTCGATTACCCAGGAGATCCCTTCCAATCTGTGTCCTATGTTTCTCTGAAACATTCAGTAAACTGACTTAAAAATGAGTGAGTGGCTTTGCCTGCCGTACACTCAAAACAAATACTTTTATAAAAACAAACATTTGCTTCTTTGAAAGCATAGGGCCTTTATTTAAAAAAAAACATAAGGAATTCTTAGTGGGCCTTTTCTTTGTTTTTCAAGGGGTGTCTCATGTAAAAATAAAAGAGCCTTGGAAGTTGCCCGGAAAAAGATGAGTGGTGATTTGGGGAATTAAAATGTCTTATAAACTTTGCTGGTGGCTTTTAAAAATGTTTGTGACTCAATAAAAATGTTTTTTTTTAAAAAGTGGGGTGTTTCTGTGAAAACTGAATTTTCCCTTTCTTAAAAAAATCTTGCGTTTTAGGGGGAAATGGGTTCTGGGGCTGAGTGAGAGAGCAGAATCAGTTCTGTGTAGGCCTATCACTATCAGCCAAAAATAGTTTTTTGGATGCATTGCTCAAGATTTGGAAAATATTGAAACCAACAGCATTTTAGCTCCAAGCTGACATTACCACGATTCTAAATAAAGTGTGGCCCTTGTGTACCTTGGTATGATGTTCTTGTTGAAGTGAGCCTTGGCAGCAAGTTAATGCAGAATGATTCAATGGATGGAATTCCTCTGCCACATAGAGGAAATGATTTTGAGCATGCAACTGTGGGCTTGTCTACTTGGGGACACTCAGAAGGTTAATCTTAATTAACTTTTAATGTGGATTAGTTAAACCACATTAAACCCATGTGGATGCTCTTACTCAGAATTAAAGTGTCCTTAATTCAATTTAGCTTAATTCACTTCCAAAGTGAATTAAACTGAACCAAATTAAGGCCACTTTAATTTTGAATAACAGCATCCACACCATGTTTTAATACAGTTTAATTAATTTACTTTAAATTCACACCTTTAGTTAATTCGGATCAATTTTCCTCAGTGTCCCTGTCTAGACGAGCCCTGAGAAGGCAAAAGAATTGGATGTATCATTTGATTTTCCTGAGACAAGAAAGCAAAAAGGGATTAGTTTGTGTTTGATTCTGAATGGGAGGATGGGAAAATATATGATTTTAAAATTTAAATTCAAAGTGGATTTCTTTAGTAGGTCGCTGGATACAACACTGGTTTCATACAGCTTGGAGTTTTCAAATTAATAGCCGAAACAAATCATTCCAACTTGTAACTGATTTGGAACTTTGGGCTGATTTGGAACTGAGAAAGGAACAGCAAAGCCTTGCTGAAATGATACAAACTACTAGAAATTCTTCATTGTTCTTGTGAAGAAAAGATTTCAGCAGATTTAGCCACCCATGAGCCCCTGAAGGGCAAAACTTCAACTGATCAACAGTCAAGAGACCCTTGGGACTTCCAGCAGAATGCGAACTCTCATAACAATGAATATGTACACAAAAAGATACGAAGGGTTTATCGGACAATTAGACTTGCTTAGACTTGGTTCCTACAAATATTTAATTGTTCAGTAGTTTAAGAGTTAAGACTGTGTTTATGTTTAAAAAAGTGTTTTATAAAAGCAGCAACTGTGCTGTACATTTTCATTAATACAGATAATTGGGTGACTGGAAGACACACATTTTTTTGTGTTGGGGTAAGGAATAGAAGTCATTAGAGAAAAAAAGTTTGGCAGATGGGAGGATGGAGGGATAGGAAAATGTTTCATAAGCCTGAGAAAAAATGCTAAGGATTGAACACATGAGGAGCCACAAGATATCAGAGATTAAAACCCTTTGTATTTTATGCACAGAATTGTTCATAGATTCAGAGATCATACTAAGAGGCTGTTACTGGCCCAGGATTGAATCCTTTCATTTCTGAGCCTAGGACAGGCATAATTTTGGGGGGAAATTCTACATCTGAGGGGGAAAGGAAGAACTTTTCTATAGAAGAACTTTTCTTTTAATTCGTGGCTTTTTGAAGATGAGGTGGTTATCAGCATGTGTTTGATGTACTGTGCAGTTTATCACATGGATGTCACCTCCACGTATGAGTTGTATATGTGTGTATTTTTATACATTTCTCACATGCACAGTTAGGATGTGTTTTGGATTTAAATGTAACATTTTGGTGACCTCCAAAAACTCAATCCAGTAACAACAGTATATTTTTAACTTTAATGTATCATTTATTATTAATAGTTAGGCATAAGAAAGATAATCATTTTCATTTGCTGATGATAAGTATGGAGCCAAATATAACATGAATAGATTCCGTGCATTTATAACTTTTCCATCACTTGTTACCTCTCTCTCATTAATGTTAACAGTTACCCACTAGATAGCTTTAATATACAAACCCAATAATTATGGTCTCATCTACTGCAGACAAAGAAAACAGATGAGTATCACTATTTTATTGTACTTTCTAGCTCTGAGAAATGGTACATCTATGAGTTTAAAACAGTGATATCTGAAAAAGAAGTTATATGGCTAAACCTACTTTGATTATCAGAAAATAAAATATCAAAGGTGTGTATTATTATACGTATGCAACAGGGCCAACTGAACAATTTTTGGTCAGAAAATTATATGTTCAACTAAACAAGTATTTTTGTGAAAAGTGTCTGCTTTCTGCAGAAAGTGCTGAGTTTTCATCAAAAACTCTCTGGACAAACATTGAAAACATTCAGTTTTTGGCAGAAAATGTTTGATTTATCAACACAAAGTCACAAATTTTCATGGGAGAAAACAACATTTGCTGATCTGCTATAGTATATAAAATAGACTTTTAAAAATACTGATACTCTGATAACAAATCTTCAGTCAGAATATAGAAATACCCTCAGTTTTATAAATAATTTTACCTTGGGGAGTATGCTACTAACCCATTTGTTCTACTGTACCTGGTAATAAGTTCTTCTGCAGCTTGTGAACACAGCTGGATCTGTGCAACTTCTTCTTCCATAGCCAACTCAACAGCCTGTTGAGGGTACAAGTGAGATCGAAGGACAGGTTTGCAGGAATCATACTTCTGTTTGTCTTCCCAAGACTTTAGGGTATTTTCAAAAGCCTGATGAAAATGGTATGATACATTAGCTGACAGTACTTGCCGTTTTTTATTTCATCTTATTAGGCACACAGATTGGTACATCATTTTACATAAATATTACAAATACTCCACACTATAAATGGTGTTAAGATTAGTTTTTAAAACTAAATTTAGAGAACAACAGTTTCTTCTGTGAGTAACATCTCTCCCCTGTCCTCCGTAAAATATGCTGTTAGAGACAAATTTACATGAAGACATTACTGTAGGCATTCTTTGTCAGGACAAGATGTTCTGAACCTTATGCTGAGCACAGTGGGAATCTAACAGTCATGCAGAGTCCAAACATGAAAATAAGGAAAAAAAAAAAAAAGCCCTAACAAACTTGCTTTAAACAACAAAGTAGCTATCATAACACAAGTCATGATGAAGGGAGAGGACTGAATTCAGCATCCACTCAGGCCAATGGACAGAGGAACTATGGGGAAGTTAGGAGCATTTACACCAGGGGAGGGCAAACTACGTCCCACAGGCCGGATCTGGCCCCTCAGGACTTTCAATCCGGCCTGCCCTGGCCCCATGCCGCTCCAGGAAGCAGCCGGCACCACATCCCTGCGGCCCCTAGGGGACGGGGAGGCAGAGGGCTCCGTGCATTGCCCTCACCTGCAGGCACTGTCCTCCCTCCTCACCCCACTGCAGCTCCGATTGGCCAGGAACGGGAAACCGCGGCCAATGGGAGCTTTGGGGATAGTACCCACAGGTGAGGGCAGCGCGCTGCGGAGCTGCCTGCCCCACCCCACCCCCGGACATGCTGGCCACTTCCAGGAGAGGCGCGGGGCCAGGGTAGGCAGGGAGCCTGCCTTAGCCCTGCTGCGTGCCGCTGCCACCCCAGAGCCACTCGAGGTAAGTGGCGCTGGGCCGGAGCCCACACTCTGAACCCCCTGCACTGAGCCCCCTAACCTCCTGCCGCACCCCTCCTGCACCCCAACCCCCTGCCCTGAGCCCCCAACCACCTGCCCTGAGCCTCCTGCTGCACCCCACACCCCTCCTGCACCCCAACCCCCTGCCCTGAGCCCCCTCCCACACCCCGCACTCTCTCCTGCACCCCAACCCCCTGTCCCAGCCCTATATTCATGGCCCTGCATACAATTTCCTCACCCAGATGTGGCCCTTAGGCCAAAAAGTTTGCCCACCCCTGGTTTACACCCTTGATTCTAGAATGGTAGAATAGTGAACATTCCCCCAGAGGCTAATTGGTTTGAAATGGGTTCTGTTGCTATTTGGCAGGGCATGCGATCTTGCTGTGGCAGTCATGAAGAAGGCACATTATATACCTATTACCTATGTAATTGCAGCTAAAACTTCCAATTTATGATAAAGTACAAAGCTAGTATCTGAAAGAGAAAGTATATTATAGTCACTAATACTCTTTTATGTTTATACAAAAGTATACATAGTACTACAGACAAAGACAGATAATCAGAATGTTTCCTCCTGGAAGTTTGAGGATTTCATCTCATCAAAAAAAGAAATACTGTTATGGTCAGACATTCTAGCAGGTGACAAAGATAAGAGTTAAGCTATTTGTGTACAAGAACGTATCTGTACCAACCTTTTATTTATTATTTCATAAGCTATTTTCTCTTGTTATAACAGAACCAAGTTGTTATAATAATGGCACTAATGAAGTATCCCATACAAAAGATAAAATGCTTTCTATAACTTACTCTGTCTCGTGTTAGCATCTGAGCTCTGTTTTTATGTACAATTTTAATAACTCCTGGGGGCTGGATCCATGCCTCTCCATCTACTTGCACTGGTACCCCTTCATCTCCAAGTATGGTGATCTTTACTGACCGACACTGAAAGAGAGTAAACATGTTAGTTCACAGAATAATATATTAATGAAATTGACAGTCCACCTGCATTAGACTGGTTGTTAGGAGCTGTGGCTTCTATCCAGGTTTGTCTTGAGGGTAAAACACTGTTGTATTTCATTCAGCATTTATGATGACTTGTTACCCGTTAAAATTAAAACAAAGTCAATATTTTATTAATGTATAATGCAGTAGTTGTCTAGACTACCTCTTTTCTCTGCAGCCTCCTAGCATGCCAGCTATCTTGGTTGCTTTCCAACAAGACACATACCTGAGCTATTCTGTGGTGCTGCAATTTGATGACTCTTGAAACTGCCATCTGCATGCTGCCAAATACCGCAACAACTTCTAAGATTTTGTCATCAAATGATGGTGCCCCAAATATCTGAGAGGAAAAGAAAATATCAATATTAGACTCTGAGCTCTTATTGCAATCTACACAGTGCAGGGATTCTGTCTCCTTTTATGTCTGGTGCAATTCCAACCACACTTTAGGTATTTAAATAGTAGAACTAATGTATTTGAAAAATAAAATTCTAGATTCAAGTATATATAAATTATACCATCACTTGAACATAGCAAAGGACTGTCATAACAAGGGTGGTCATAATGGCAATTAAAGTACTTGAAAGCCACAGTACATTATCCATATATAAGGTTGGTGGCGGGTTTAAATGCACATACTGAGAAATGTTAAGCAACTCAAGATTAATGTGGCAAACATAACTATGCTAATCTTCAATTGGTCAATATTTCTAAAGTCCAAGAGCAATTAAGAAGGACATTTATTTTAACACAGCTCAAAAGTGCTTATCTTTCTTTGTCCAGAATTCTCTTTAGACCATCTTCAAAATCTATATTGGTAAATGAAGTGTCAATGCCACTTCATTTAATGCTGAAGAAGAATCTCATAAAATTTACCTGTTTTAATAATGAAAACTTTACTTGAACATTCTGTTTTTGTATCAAACTAATGCCCCAATCCAGCAAAGACTTAAGTACAAGTCCGTTGATTTCAATTGGACAAATCACAGGGCATAAAAGTTAAGCACATGAGTAAGCCTTTGCAGGACCAGGACCTAACATTGAAAGCAGATTTTGTACATTAGCTTGGCAGTTCCCTAAAATAAAGTTTCTCTCTCTCTAGGATATTATATGACCCTCATCATCAAGGGCATGCAAATGTCTTACATGAATATAGAACAAAAAGATTATTCTTTGCCAGGTGCTTCTCCTTCCTTTTCTATTTCAAGTAACTTTTGATATATCCAGCTTCAGTTTATTTGCCTTTAAGAAAAAAATGAAAGCATTTCTTTCATCCCTAAAATTATTCTTAAAAAAGCAGAGATGAAATTATTATGCTGTTTCAAAGCATGGCACAATTATCTATGATGGTTTAACTTTTCTGCTCTATGATACAGACCAGCCTTCCACTTTTTACAAGAAAAATCAAGATACTAAATATGATGAATTAACTGAAGAAACATCCTTTAGAGATACTGAGTAATTTAATGTGAGACTTTGTTTATGTTTTTTAACACTTATTAATTTGGTGAATCTTTTGGATTCCTCTTTAGCTGGATGAGACTAAAGCTGGATGTTTTTTCTCTTTTAAATTTAAATTAATAGGTGGTGACTAGATTGACGTGTGTTAATATGTAGTGTTCTTTTTCTACTTTAGTGTACTTCAATCTCTTTGTGGTGATATTACTTTGTAATGTGCATTGTAGAATCAGTGAAAGCTTTTCTTATAAGTGTATATTAGAAATGCATTTGTAGCATACCATCTGTATAAAAACCTTTACCATACATTTTAAAAAGTGCAATTAACTTCTACAGTGAGTGCTCATGCCAGGGCCTGAACAGGGAAACAAGAGTGTCCTGGACAGAAGAGTCACGCAAGAAGGCCTCTACACCGCATGTGGTACTTGCACATGAGCAATATACCGGCCAGTGCATCATCTCTTTTTGAAGTAAGCCTGGTCTGGCTTGGCCTAGGAATTTGGGCAGTGGCTTGTGGTGACATTTTTACTGAGACATGCAACAACTTTTTAATACGACAGATAAATTGTCCGTTGCTTATCCAACTGAAGATCAATGCAAACTTGTCCAAAAGTTCCTAACTGAATACAGGCTGCTAGGTATTGCTGGCTAGTCTTGTGAGGTCTGTAGGCATTATATTGGTTGTTTAAGTGGCTTTACTCCATACATTCTTTTTGTTGATGAAAAGTTGATAGGGCCAGAAGTACAGCTTGTTAAACCTCTATAGTGCAGTTAATCTAGTGATCTGCCAGAAATGTACAAAGGCATGATGTCTTATTAATAAGTACCGACTCATCAAGTCAGGCAAAGAGAGATGTTCCCTTCTTTACTTACATAATAGCAAATTATTAAAACCTTGTGTACTGTATTCAGTTCTGTGGTGGCATGCCTTTTTAGTCTCCTTCTTAGCATATGCACAACATGCCTCAGGTGGCACATTACCAGGATTCATCACTGAATGCGGTCTGCTGGTTGGATCATTAGTTTCCCAAGCTTGGGCTGGGTACTGACAGGGAGTGTGACATGAACACTGAGCCACGCCCCCGGCCTTTTTAGTGACATTCCACAAAATGGTATCCTCCATACAGTGTGAATTGAGGAGTATGCCTTTTTGGACCACATTTGAATTCTGAGGCATGCAATGCTTGCCTGGCATAACACAGATGGCATGCCCCTGCATTTGCCCCCTCAATTTGTCCTTTGCTTGTAACCAGTGGACCTGAAATTACTCCAGGATATCACTTTTCCATCTTCCCAGGAACTGGATTACAGCCTACTCACAAATTGGGATGAATTCCATTCCCCCTGCTTGTTTACAAAAGCCCATTTAGCTTGTGTTTTATCTTTAGTGCAGGGATGGGTGTTGTTATATTCTGGTTTCTCTGCATGTATAATTTACTTGCATAGAACTTCTGTAGCGTGCTTTTTTCCCCCAACAACAACAAAAGAAATAACAGTCTTCTAAGAATTCAAATTCAAGGATTAGCACACCCCCTTTCCCCCCGTGGGTTCTGCTTCTAATCTCCCTGTTCTTTCCAAACTAACAAACTCCCTGGGATAACTCCCCATATACAAAATTCAGTAAGTGTGTTGTGGTAAACGCAGCCAGGTTCACTGAGCAATATTTTAGGAATAGACATCGCAGTCAAGACAGCGACTTTCTTCTGTCCAGATAAGCAGAACCAGCAACCTCTCAAAGACTACCGTCAGTATTGCTCTGTTGATCAGTCACCTGAGACAGCACGAAGAGCAGTGAGTTGTGCACCTAACCTCCCACAGAATAAATGTGTCACCTTCGTGACACGTTTGATTATGAGTAGCAACAAGGTTGCTCCCAGACATACATGTGTGCTGCATACAAATATGATTGCTAGAACAGTCTTCCTCTCTTTCTTGACTCTCTGGGAAAAAAAGCAAAAATTCCTGAATGTAACCTGAATGGATGTTAGGGAAACTTCCATGCTGCAAACATGAATATGGAGGCCACCAAAATGCTAGATATCTTTACTCAAATGCAGCTTGGGCTGACTGCCATGCTCAAAAGACTTGTACTATGAATAGGAAAAAGACTCCAAAGAATATGAAATAATGTTTTTGATTTTGAAGAAGGGGGAAAAAAGGGGTGTGAGATTGTGAACAGTAAGAAAGTTAAGCACTTCGGGGGAAATGTTAGGGATAGTCTATGTTAAAACACAATCTTACTAATAAGTCTAATTTTAAATGATAATTAAATGTACAAAACCATGTCAAAGCAATGCTGTGATTCAGACTTCACACACATTAAATCAGGAAATTCAAAATTATGGTAATCCCACAGCAATCACACTAGATCATTTGTGCATAAAGTACACTTCAACAGTAAGAATCCCATCTGGCATACCCTCAAAGCAGTGAAACAGTAGTGTATGTAGTAAAGTGTCTGTGCAGTATAAGGTCTGTCAAGAAAAAAAAAAAGGACCATTTTGGATCAGTCCATAAGCTTACTGGCAACAATATATACAAGATATAGACACAGAAAAAGGTAATTAAAGGATTCTACAATTTTTAATCCTCTCTTCAGTTAATTTGTTCTCAGTCCCTGTTTTCAGATTCATCAATCCACCTACAGCTTTTTAAAGAATAGGAGCAAAATGAAGATATAAGCTGTGGGAGTGATACAGTTGGCCAGCTCCCTTTTCTGTTGGATATAGTGCACATAAAGTGCGTGCACTGGGAAACCGTGATTATAGCAGATCATCAACTAGTACATAAAAGAGGAGAGGAATTGCTATTAACTTTCATCATTGTTTGTAAAGGAGTCATGTCTAAAAATTCCATCTTTATAGCCATATATTCTTTAAGTATTGAGCCCTATTTGGAAATTTTGGTGACCTTAAGGAAAGAAAAAAGAAAGGAAAGAAAAAATAAAATGAAAATCAAAGTGACATATTTTCAGTAAAAATGGCAAAACTTAATGCAAGAGTACACACATTTCTAAACTGAAACCACCTTACGGAACAATAGCTTCCTGATAGTTATCCAGACTATATACCAATACTATTACAATTAAATGAGAACAACAATAGTGCAAAGTGCTTTTTGTAATTTTTGTTTCCAAAGGTTACTTTTCTTTAATGTTACTTACATCATCCTCTTTGGTTCCACCCCAGAAATTAGTCCCACCAGCATAGCTTGGAATGTTTAGCACAGCTATGCCTTGAAGACTGGGGAGGGGGATGTATTGTCCATCACACTGTAATGCATAAAAACCTATGTGAGAATGTAAGACAAATGACCTGATAAAGTAATCAACCATTTCTAATTCACAAAGCATTTCAACAGAGTCAGCAATGGAAGCTAAAGTCAATATTGCATTAGTAGCTCTATATGAGTCTATTTTTCCTATGACGTGGAGTAGCTCTGCATGAATCTATTCTTCACACACTAATCAAGATTTTTTCTTAAACTACAAAATATTTGAGCTACAAATATCTGCAACAGTGTCAAAAGGTAACTCTCTCTGGGTATGTCTACACCCAGCCGCTAGTTCGGCGGCTGGCAATCGATGTTCTGGGTTCGACTTATCGCGTCTTGTCTGGACGCGATAAGTCGAACCCGGAAGTGCTCGCCGTCGACTGCGGTACTCCAGCTAGACGAGAGGAGTACCGCGGAGTCGACGGGGGAGCCTGCCTGCCGCGTGTGGACCGAGGTAAGATCGAACTAAGGTACTTCGAACTTCAGCTACGTTATTCACGTAGCTGAAGTTGCGTACCTTAGTTCGATTTGGGGGGTGAGTGTAGACCAAGCCTCTGTCCCTTCACAGAAATTTGCTCAAGTTCCCAGCAGTAACTTTATGCATTTATATGTCAATCTCTAACTACTAGGAATTTGGAGGTTTCTTGCACCTTCTCCTGAAGCATATGGGGCTGGCTGCTGCCAATGACAGGATACTGGGCTATCAGGACTGATCTTGGTGCATATGGTCCAGCATGTCTACTCTCCTCTAACCAGAAATACTACCAACAGCAGATAGCATCTTTTAGTTGCAATTAGAATCTCATCACTGGAAAAATAACTACACTACTGCAATGAAAAGAGGTCAAATGAGCATACAAAATATTATAAGCATAAATATAAAATGAAAAATTATTAAATTAATATGTTTAAACAATGTATACAATGTTAATAAAATGTAAAAAGCTATGTAAGAATATATAAAAAGAGGAATACTACTTTCTTAAATAAACTAATACACGGTAGCATTCCATTTGTCAACCACATAATGACAGAAGCCATTGCAGCATATCTACTTGTTAACTCTGGGATAAAGCCTAGAAAAAAATTGCTATGAAAAATGAGAAAAAGTACTTATTGTGAGATTTCACTTTAAACTTGAGATTTCATTGGATGTTGCCACCTTCATCTCTCATTATTTCAAAAAAGGCGTCATTCACCCATTGGATAATTAGAATCCCACCCTGCAGAGGTATTCATAGTCTTGCTAAACTATTATTATTTACGTAGCATCCAAAGTATACTAGATCCTTTTCTAAATATGCAAGAAGACAGTTTCCTACCCTGAAGTGCTTACAATATAATCAAACAATGAAAGATGGAGGGAAAGGATTTAATAAACAAGCACAATGAGAAAGGTGGAGTTAAGCAAAAGTCTTGTTTGTGCTTATATGCTTGGCTTCACTTGTATATATGTCTCAGTGCCCTGAACTGTTCATGTCCAATTGCTATCCCCTGATGAAAAGATTTTTCACCATTTCCCTTGTACTTTGCATTGTCCACTTCTGACAATTTACAGAAAAACAGCCAGTCAGAAGATACTCACGAAATTCCGAACATGCAAACAGTCTCTGGAGCAGTCCCTCTTTCTACATCCCCTATCCCCTAAAATACTTAAACAACTCTGTCTGCTGCTAAAAAGTAACCCTGGAGTCAGTGTGAGAACAGTTTTGGAAGTACAACATATTGAACCCACTTCTGAAAAAGTGGCCCAAAATGTATTAGAAATATGCTTAGTAGCACCTGTGATCTCTGGTTTTATATTATTCCACTTTAGCAGCAATTCAAAATATAAAAGCTTAAAATATGACAGTATCCAAAGTATGGCATGAAATTAATAGATGTGACTGTTCCACTTGTGAGTTATAGTATATGATTAGTTCTAACTCTTGAAAAGGACTAATTTTATATCACTCTTCAATGCTGTGTATTTTATCACAGCACATAACACATATCATTATGTAAGACAATACTAAATATGAAACTTCCACAGACTTTTCTACTTCCAAAAATATTCAGAAATAATTATGAAAAGGTCAGATTTGAATGCTAAAATATATCTTATTCAAAAGAAATGTTACATTTGCAAGTTCTTAAATTAGAAATCTACCTGGAGCATACATAATGTTCTTTCCTATCATCATCTTCACTAACTACAGCACAATTTCTAGATAATTGCTAAATCCTTAGATAATGGAAACTTGCTTCTACAATACTAAACCCTTCTAAAGCGCACTCAAGAGAAAGAGAGTTACAATAAATTAAAATTACTCCCTCAGCTTAACAGATATCTTCATATAAATAACATGAACTTTCAGATAAAATATTTAGCACAAAGAAAAGGACAATGCATGTTCTTTCCTTCCCCCATCAAACTTTGGAAGAAAACTTATGTAATCATTTCCCAGACTTGTATCACAGCTAATCTCTTGCTACATCTGAACTTGTTAGGCATTAATGTCTTTTTCAAGTTCCCAGTATTTTGAAAAAGGCTTAAATTTGGTTTTAGAACTAGAGTAGGAACTAGCCAGATTGAATTGATTTATACATGTATCTGTGTTGTGGCAAGACACAATATCTTCCTACTTCTACACAGTTCCCTCAATATTGGAATTAGGAAAGTCTCTCTAAATGCCCTGGTTCTTTATATACTAAATTCTTTATGTACTAAATTCATCTGTCATTTATGATGAAGTCGTTTTTAATCATTCTTAAGCCTTCTTTTCCAAGATGTTTATTAGGTACTTCGTATAGACATTTAGTCAGCTTCCATACAAGCTAAACCAACCTGATAGGATTAATGATTTTTTTTTTCCGTAATGTATATTGTTGTTCTTGAGACCTACTCTCCATTCAGTGTGTCCCAAAAGCCCCCCAAAAACCTCTTATTGGTGTCAGTGAGAGATGAATATTGAGAAAACAGATCCCTTAGAGTCTATTGTCTCTTTAATTATATATTATAGTGACAATGATAAAAGTTATTCAGAAACATTAAATGCCATACTTTTGCACATTTCAAAATACTTATTGTGTGTCCAAGGATTCACATTGTGATTAACTTCTCATCCACCGCATTTCATAGATTACATTTATGAGGGACAGATTTTTCATAGTTTCACCTAACTTGTTAGGTTCAAAACAAGTGAGATATTTCAAGATGATCCCCATGTTCTGCACTGTAAATTTTAATGGCAAAAACTCATCAAATCTGTAAATAAAATAAATATTACCTCAAGCTGAACTTTTTGTTCTAAGTTCTTATAGGTTCTTTGCAGTAACTCTTTGGTACCAAGCACCCCATACCACATCATGTTCTTCGTCCGGCTTCTGGAAATAAGTAAGTAAAAATTCATATACTGAAGCATGCAATTTGTTATGTATCAAAGCTGTAGAAAGAGTCAAAAGTTAAGGATATAAAATAAAGCAAACAGAATAACAAAATTAAGAAAAATTAAATGCCTCTGCTTTATCACTAAGAACTCCATTACCGGCACTTTTCAGGGTGTTCCTCTCGTTTATTATTAAATTCTAATGAAATTTTTGCATCTAATCCAATTCCAAAGTAGTTGTTCATGACACATTTTTCTGAATATCCTTCCCTGTGAAAAGAATACATATATGTAAGTATCCACTTATGAAGTTATCTGAACAATTACTTTAGGGCTTTGAGCAAGATTGTGGCTGGCCCTAGCACAGGCACATGACCGAGGCAGGGTGCAAAGCATTTGATTGATTGATCTTAGATACTTATGTGGCCCCATTACTCAGTACCTGAACACCTCACAAACTTTAATGTATTTAAACTCACAACACCCCTGGAAGATAGGGAAGTGCTATTATCCCTATTTTACAGATGGCAAACTGAGGCACACAGGAAGTCTGTGATGGAGCAGGAAATTGAGCCCAGATCTCCCAAGTTCTAGGCTGGTGCCATAACCACTGGAGCATCCTTCCACTCTATAGCAGTCACAGGGACCATGGAGTGTAAGTCACCTCAAAAGGAACAGAAGAGACAGGGCCTTACTTCCACACCCCTACCTAGGGGAGCTTGCCCGTGGTGGAGGAGGTTGCATGCTCCTAAGGTGGACAGAGAACATGGTTCATGTGTGTATCAAGAAGCTCCATTGGTCACAATGCCTTCCAGTAATCCTGCTGTAGCAATGCAACTCTGCACTGCCTTTAACTCAGGACCTCTGCCTAAAAGACACCATCTGGCTCTTTGAATTTATTGAGCATTATTATCTATAAAAATTGTGCTTCAAGGCTTGCGTTATTCATTCTAGTAATTACAAAGTACAATTTCCTAAAGAAATGATTAAGGAAAAGAGACTGAACCCCAACACAGTCAATTTGAGAAAACAAGGAGATTTTCTTACAGTGAATCTGGATCAGGGTCAATAAATGGAGTAGCACCAAATGGATCAATGTTTGAAAGTAACATTTTGCTGATAATTGAACTCCCCGCAATAGAGGCAGCTAATCCAGCTCTTAAACCTGAAGGAGAAAACACAGAAACAAAACAATATTTGTTAATATAACGCATGCAATTCTGAGAGATAGTATTGTCTATAGCCAAGCACAGGATGGACAGGAAGTGCGCTTTCTCAGACAGCTCTGCTACTGCACCTAAGTTCTTACCTACATTACCTCTCTCTTCCAGTTTTGGCCTCTCTTGAGCAGAAAGGCAACTGAGTTGAATTCGGTGGTGGAGTTCACTGTCCACCACTGGAGAAAAATGTCACGATTTCAATCCAAGACTACGGAGGTGACAGATTGCACAGTAATCACCTAATGCCACTGAAGGTTCCCATATTTTTCATCTCTTAGTCCAGTCACCCAGTCTCCAAACTATTTCATTACTTCGGGTTGGTTTTGGGAGGAGTTGGGGGGGCAGGCTTCCACAGTGGGATCATTGTTCATGCAGCCTATCAGCTCATTTAGAATCTTTGAGAAATGCTTAACTCCTTAATTTGGCTTGATAAATGTACGTTCAACAGGGAGTTCTTCCCTTACCAACCTTTTACACAAGAGAACTTCTCTGCAAAACATGTAAATGACAAAGTTCCTAACTGTCAGGGTGGTTAAACACTGGAACAAATTGCCTAGGGAGGTTGTGGAATCTCCATCTCTGGAGATATTTAAGAGTAGGTTAGATAAATGTCTATCAGGGATGGTCTAGACAGTATTTGGTCCTACCATGCGGGCGGGGGACTGGACTCGATGACCTCTCGAGGTCCCTTCCAGTCCTAGAATCTATGAATCTATGAATCTATAAAGCCACCACTTTGATCTCCTAGACAGGGAGGAAGGGGTTGAAGGCAAGTGAGAGAAGGACAAAGCAGACAGAACAAACAAGTATGGGTGAAAAAATGAGGGCAAGGGGACTAGAGAACAGAAAACCAGAAGTCAGATGGGATGGGGAGGAAAGAGAGAGACAGGCAGGTGTAAGAACACAGAAATACAAGTTAAATGAAAATAAATAAGGAAGACAGAAGAGGAGAGGCTGGCAGGGAGAATTTGATTAATGAGCTAAGAAACAATTCGTGTTTCTACCATGGGAACGGTCAGAGCCTGATTAGCTTTGCCCACTGGAAAGTTGGCAACCCTGCCATGCCCATTTTGGCTAATATCAAAGTAACATGCACAACTATGTTTAATTAATGCAGATAGAAATTTGCTTTCAAAAGCTTTTAGTTAAAGTGATCTACAAACAGTACATGCTTAGTTTCAATATATATTGTTAATACTGATAATGAAAGTTCATTAAGCCAGTGTTTTAGCAATGCTTTCTGGTATACATTTTTACTTTGGGATGTGTACAGATTTCCTAACTGCTATTGTTGCAAAGTACCTTTTTACAGTTTAATTTATATTTTTACTGACAGGTATGTCCCCTTGGCATTTCATTCAGTCAAAAGATCATTTCTTAACTGACTCTGGCCCTTAGCCTCTTACTAGGCTAGCACAGCCTTCATCCACTAGGGGAGCAAGGTTCCTTTGACTCCACGATGAACACAGCCTTCCCATTTCTGCTCCTCATTCCCCAAACCAAGTGCAATGCTTTTGTAATGTGTCTGGTGCTCAGGACAGTGACCAGAAGTATTTTCAATTAACATACATTCTCTATGGTACCACACAAAGAGGTTATGCATATTAATTCACTAATATTTGTAAAGTTCTTTGACATCTCTGGGTGGAAGACACTATGTAAGTGCAATGTATTATTATTTAACAACTAATTGTGGCATATAGCAAGATACTGAAAGGACTAATGGAGTTCAGAATATCATTACCTGGGCAGATTATCCTGGTGTTAAGTACAGGGAGGTTTTCTTTACCGGCTGCCACAGCTGGGGCAGAGAAAGAGCCAGTATGAGAGGGGATGCCCCGACTTGTATGTCGATCTGGAGATTTTGGTGCAGCTTTAACTATGCCAAAAAAAGAAGAAGAAGAAATAACAAAGTTAGAACTAAATATACACCCACACACAAATTGTAGATACAATTGCATATATGCTTATCTAAGATTCAGAGCCTCAACATGTTGTACAAGCATGAACTATTAATCTAACCTATTAACCCACTTTGAGATCTCTGGAGAACCAGCAAATATCTGTATTGTTTTGTATGAATATTGTGTGTCCCTCTGTGTGTTTGCTTGTGATGGGTTACTTGCTATGGAGTTAGATCAAAAGGAGTTGTTAAAGAAACCAAGCAGGAGAGATGAAATAATGCCCTAGATAAGAAGCACCCCAGCAAATGTTCAAACACAATAACCAGGAATATAGCTGTGAAGATGTAGCTGTTTTGCCAAGGCTGAAACTCTAGAGATCAAAAGACACACATCTGTTAAAAGATCTGCCCTGCAGAAAGGGAGTGGGGAGATAAGGTTGTCAGCTGCTGCAGGCTGACACAGACTGACAGAGAGTCCAGTCCTGCTGAAAGCACAATGTAACTTGGTCCCCAAGAGAATGCAGGACCTACTGAGTCATGTCTACTGAGGGGCTGAGAAGGAACGCCAAGCGTAGTTAAGACAGTCAGCATATAGGTGTGTTATTTTAAATCCACTTCTTGGAGAGCTGTGCACCTTTGGCAAATAAATTACAATTTGTTTTAAAGAAACTGCTTCTGTGTTACTGCTTATTATTACTGTCCGCAGGCTGCCGAAGGGAAGCTCTGATAGGTGCCATGCCCATGGAGACTGCTAGATATCCCAATTGGCAATGGGGGGGGGGGGAGGGGGTTATCCCAGAGACCCAGTCAGAGTGGTTGGATCATGGGTATCCACCCCAAGGAGAAGTGGAGGCACAGTCATGCCTTGAAAGGGTGCAATCGGGGAACTGGAAAGGGATCTCAAAAGGGACAGCCTAAGCAGGGACTGTAACCAGAAATATCCCCATTTATGTATTTACTTCACTTATTCTACTCATGGAGAAACTCAGAGGCAGGAAGTTCAAGTGATTAGCTCAAATGAAAATCCTCAGAGATACATAGAACAAGACCTCTGGAGTTCCCAACTTCCACTTCAATTCATTAGGGCACATACTAATTTAATATTACCTTAAACACTGCACTTCATTTCTGATAAATGTAATAGGATGTCCCATTGAAAAAAAATGCAGAATTAAGAAGGAAAAAAGTTTAAAAGATTTGCTGTAATAGGAATTATGTATAAGGCCACTAATCCACATGCAAAGTTCTTGGAGTGCTATATAATAATTTCATAATAAATTATAAACAAATCTAATAAAAACTGCTCTAATAAAACTAAAGAAAAATGGAGGAGAAAGGAAAACATTCTAATAGTTGGGCAGGGTAACAAGTAATCTATAATTAGGGGTAAGAGTACTTGCCATTTTTAAAAAACTTTGGGAATAAAAGCAAGTCTTTACTTGGTGTTTAAAGGAAGGGAGTGGAGGAGCTGTGGCAAATGTAAAGAGCAAACACCATAGAACCCACTACAGTTCAAGACAGATTACCTGTCAATATGAGGCCCTGATTCGGGAAAGAATTTAAGCAAAAATACATAAGTATATGTTTATGTCCATTAACTTCAATGGGACTGAAGCACGTGCTTAAAAGTTAAAGTGTTTTCCTGAACTGGGACCTAACACATGATCATGCCATCAGCTCTAGGTGCAGGCTCAAAGGGGAGATCAAACTTAGCTGGGCCTACAGTGTCAAAAGTATGGTCCTGCTCTGATAAGCAACTCAATAAAATGGCTTTGTGGGGGGATCTATGTTTATTGTCTCTACCTGACACCCAGGTCAAACATGATCAGCTTACAAATAAAAGAGATGGGGGGAGGTGTTTTCTAATTACTAGCTTTGCAAAGTCAACATGGGATCTGAAAGCTAAACTCATCACCAGTGTAACCTCACTGTCTTCAGACTACACTTTCAGTAACACTTGTGCAACCTCCTAATGTCAATGGAATTACAAAGGTCTGACTGATTAGCCAGGTAGTTGGAATTTAGAAAACAATTTTGTTAAGATGCACAAACTGGAAACAGAATCCAGCTCAGACTCTCACAGCTGTGTGGTGTCTGCAGGAGCAACAGCAGTAAAAACATATTATTGTCACTAAAGTAAGCTGATATACTCAATATACCATCGAGAAGGGATAAAGATAAGTAAAGAGATGCCATTTTAGATAGTCATTTTTCAGAGTAGAAATTCACATTAAAGGCTCTAACAGTGACAGTTTAAAATTCATCCACAACATTGCAGGCAGTCAGTGTATAAATAAAGAATGCAGGGTGGGAGTATTACAATGATGGCTTCTTAAATCACTAAGGAAACACGCTGCAGCATTCTGTACTAGTAAGCTGTGACAAAAGCCCACTGCTGGAAATCATACCAGGATGGAATTATAATAATGGAGCCCCACAGCCGCCAGGACATGTTGCTGTTGTAACGTCATAATGGGATAAATTGGGGTGCAGCATAAGAAACTGGGAAAGTAAATAAATGTCTCTTACCCATGCCCAAAACATAGTTTGTTAGAGTAAAGCTGCCATGTAGCAGTAGTGAAGTATCCAGAAAGAGTTACTTCCCCCCTCCCCACAACAAGAAACTTTTTTGATTTAACACAAATAATATTATTTCTAAAGCTACTCATTACGTGACTGTAGAATTTCAACTAGAACCTTCCTCAGTTCCCTCCTGCCTGGCTTTCTGCTACATACAATCTCTTAGGGCATGATCAAAAAAGACTACCTGTTTTAAAAACCCCAAACAAGACCCCGCTAAGTGGGAATACTAGAGAGAGGATGGTCTCACATATTGATGACCCTCGACCCCAGCAAGACTTCAAACTTCCCAGGGTTGAGAACAGAAAATACTATAATTCCAGTGCATCCAACTGGAACTGACTATTGTCAAGTAGTTCGCTAAGCCAAGACAGTGGGTCTATGGGCAAGAGATGATATTCAGTTGTGTATCATCAATATATTGGTGATGTTCTATCCCATGTTTAGAAATAACTCCCAGGGCTCTCTAAATCGTCCTAGTGGCTGCTCTGACCCCAGAAGCAGCCAAGATTTGGAAAAGCGCAAAGATGACTTAAAGCCACCTTAGCCCCCCACATCCCGCGAGGCTCCTTAGATGTGCAGCATGGAATCTCACTCCATTTCTTGAGGACAGGGAAAACCTCTGCATAACTGAGGATGGTCAGCATCCTTCTCTCTAAAGGCCTGTCAGCACAGGAAGTTATATTGGTATAATTGTACAGACACAGTTAAACCACTGCAACTTCCCATGAAGACACACTTATTCCAAAATAAGAGTGGCTCCTTCCCATTTTAGCTTAAACTGCTTCTAAAACAAAATAAGGATAAATGAGAAAAAGGCATATTTTTATAGAATAAAAGTTTCCTCTTGGAGAGTTATACAAGTATAACTGTAACAGTTTAAATTCATACTTACTGTATACTGATACAACTTCCTGTGTAGAAAATCCCTATGCTAATAATTGACAGTGACAGCCAACAGTGGCATCAAGTAACTAAGATGTGGGAGCAACAGAGCTTGCAGGTATTGGGTTTCTGGGAAATCAGAGAAGTACTGACCTTCCTCTTCCAAAACCAAACTGAACTCAACAGGGGAGAGAAAGCCTTTTGAGGTCCTGTCTCTTGTTGTCAAAAGGCTTGGTAAAGGAAACCAGTCAAGAGCTGACCCTTCACAAAGACCACATAAACTCACAGAAGCGATCAGCAGAAGTAACTGCTAATAGAATGGAGGAGAACAGATCAATAAGACGTCACATTATGTAGTCCATCAAACTGTCAGTGTTAAAGACAGTGGATAGATCAAAGATGAAAAGATGGAAAAGAGGCACTTAACCATGGCCAGGAATAGGTCACTAGTGATCTTGGTAAGAGCAATTTTGTAACACCTATTGGCTTTTGGCATAGCACTTCTGTGTGCCTGCATAGACAGAAGATGATCACACTCTTGATAGCTCTTGGTCATCTCCTCCGCAGTTTACTGTACATGCCCAAACTACTTCAACTTCTGATGGCCTGAACTATACTGACCTCCACGTACACAGAAAAGAAAAAAACCCACAGAAATTCAGCTGATCTGAACATTTTCTCTCACCATTTGCACTATCATGGTTTCAAAAAGTTCACAGAAAATATATGTAAAAAGTCAACAGTTAATATAATCTTGCACGTTACAAACAGAACAGTGTGAAAATGTCCTGCATTTCATATGGGTGAATTATTATGTTGACAAACTGAAGAGAGTGCAGAAAAGAGCCACAAAAATTATTTGAGGGCTGGAGAAAATGCCTTACTGTGAGAGATGCAAAGAACTCAATCTATTTAGCTCATCAAAGACCGCGTGGTAACTTTATTAAGGAGAGTAAGTACCTTCACATGGAGAAAGCAAAGGGTATCAAATCTAGCAGAGAAAGTCATAATAAGAACCAATTGCTGGACATTAAAGTCAGACAAATTCAGATTAGAAATAAAGCACAATTTTTTAACAGTGCGGGGTGATTAAGCATTAGAACGAAATACCAATTAAGTGATGGTTCTCCAGCATCCTCAAAAATTAAGCCTAAATACATTACTAGAAGATATACTTGAGTCAAATTCAAGTTATTGGGCCCCACACAGGGGTAACTGGGTGAGGATCTACAGCCTGTGATAGACAGGAAGTCAGACTAGGTCATCTAATTGTCCCTTCTGGCTTTAAATTCTAAGAATTCACAAATTAACTACAGCAATTATAAGGAGATGATATTGAGGTCATAATATCAACACAAAAACATGATTCTCATGTGTATGACAAAACACCATTCTTAAGTGTTAGGGAGCTAACAGAAATACAGATGGAAAACGATATTCAAGTTTTATCTAATTAAAATTATTATCTATTTAGACTAAGGTAATTAATGCGAGGAAAATACTACTTTCATCAAGCAACTGAGGGAGACTCTCAGAGGATTAACAAATAATACTCAGAACACAATTATCTTTCACTCTGCATAATGCTACTCAAAAATTCACAGTGCTATTCTTACAACCCGTTTTCTCGGAACTCAGGAGCAAGGCAGTAGCATTAAGAGAAAAATCAGCAGAACAGCTGCTCTTTATTTGACAGATGAGACTCATGGGGATAAGCTGCAATAAAAATGAAGTTCTTCTGTTCATGCTCTGATAAAAACTAACACAGCCCTCGTGAGTAAAATTGATGTTTCATTGCAGGTAATTGAATTAATGTTTCATGGTTTCTCCTGAAACACCCATCTCCCACTGACAATATTAACATGTACTCCACTTCACACATTAGATGTCTGAATACTGATACAACTTCCTAATAAGTATACTAGTATTACTCTAGGAAGCAATGGTTATTTGATGCACAAACAAGTTTAGTATTGTTGGCCATTCCTATCTGACAGAAATGTTTATCGGCCATGAAATTAGCAAACGCAAACTACCACAAAGTTAGGTTAAGCTTCCTCTCTCTCTTTTTGCAATGAAAACTGAAAGAACGAGGATGTTCAACTCTGCACATGCCGTTTTAAATAAAGGTCTACATATTTATTTTTAAATACTGTGGTTCTGATATGCAACCCTCCATTATTTTAAGAGCAGAATTTGTGGAAGTACAAATTCAGCACAAGTTTCTGTAGATGAAGCAGAGACTTCTTAGAAAAATAAATGAAAGCATGTAATTTTCCCTAACATAACAGACTCTCTGGCTTGTCCACCCCCAAATAATTAAACTAGCCCATTCCTGTTCATGTATGGCAATGGGGAGCTCCAGCACATGGTACAACCCCATTCTAAAGGTAATTCCTAATCACAAACAATTAATTAATTAACAATACAAGTAAAACAAAATTCTAAGTTTCATTCTTTATTATAATTAAACTTTAAACGTAATGGTCATAAAAATTCCCAGCCTTAGAGTCTAAAATCCTCTCAAAAAGAGGCTCAGCACAGGCAGCAGAAACAGAAGCTTCCCACATTAGCCCTTCTTTGTGCTCTAACCCTGATTTAAAAGGAATCACCTACACAGACCAAGTTCAGTCTCCATGCCCATTCAATCCTTCAACACCGTAGCCTCTCTGGTAAGTGTACACTTATTGCTGTTAATGCCAATTTCAGTAAAGTTTTGGTTCCCTCTTTAAAATATATTAACAACAATACAGGTCTAGCACATAAAATCAGGTTTCTGTTATATAGTTATGATGTCCTACTGAGGATATCAAAGTAGATGAATATGGCCCAGACTCCAAAGGGCACATTCTGGATTCTTAGCATGTCATCTGCCCAAATACCACATAGAGAAACAAAGGTTTGGAAAGATACCCACATAGAAAAAAATTAAGTTAGGGTTGTGAATGTTGCACCCATTAACTAGCATTAACAGAATGCTATAGTTTAAAAAAAAAAAGCCAGAAATTCAGGATATTAACAATTAAGGTTCCAGCATCATATTAAACTCACCAGCCTCCTACCTATGAATTAAAAACTATCAGCAGTTTCCATCTGAAACTAAAATCTGTCCTGTTGAGAACACGAATTCTAACAGATGATCTTGAATTGTCTCATATAAACCTGCACTGATTTTTTTCAACCTATATCAGATCCAGGAAGGCTTCACTCTGCTGTTTCTCAGGAAGGTGTCAAAAGAACTGAACAGAACTATATGATGCCTCAAAGAAGTTATAAACTTTGCAAAAACAACACTCAAAGCTTACAGCACTGAGCCCCACTTTCAGGCCTCACACCTGTTTCAAGAGTCCCTACAGTAGCAGATGAAGTTCAAGATGGCTCCTATCAAGAGATATATAGGACAGTTTACTCACAAAGAAGTCTTTCCCCCCCCCAAAAGTGGAGCGTGTATATGTGCATCAGAATCAGGCTAATAATGGAAACTGTCTAACCAGTTTAACTCTGAAGTCACTACTTTGGCTTCATAAAGTAATACTCTATAGAGTTTTAAAGAATTTTACTCTGGATTTACTTACTTGTCTGACATTCGTATTCCTTTGTATCTTCCTCTTTTTCTTCTTCTTTGGATTCATCCAATTCCTTACTATATTCTACAGGGGATTGGTTCACTTGTTCTTCAGTATGAGCATTCTGTTCATCCACAACTGCATAGCAGGAGGGAAAATAGTTAAAATTTCTTCAGAGAAAATACGCATATGTAAAGCTTCTGTAGAAAATTAACATCCTACTACTGTAGCACTAATTTAGGACATACAGATATTAAGAAAAGGCCTGTTCTGCCTAATCAGTTCAAGAGCAGTTAGCAATCCTCTGCCAGTGATAATGGAATAATTAAACTGAGAGGTGATTCACCACCATATTGATAATAATACTTTAAAAATGGAGCTCTGTGACGGTTTGTCAAAGCTTCCTGCTGATAATTTTCAGTACTTTTCTTTCTGAAGGAGTTACAAAAGTAAACAAAACATATTACATCAGAAATCCCATCTAGCCCAGTTAAATGCTATATAGTTGGATCAAATTTTCTAATATCACTGTATTTTCTGAGAATATATTTTGGGTCTAATTTTCAAAATTACATGCACACAACTGTGTGCTTAATTTGTGCACGCAATCAGGTATAGTGTCTGAGCACGCTTAAGGCTAGTTATATATAAGTGGCCACCTGCATTCACAAATACCACAGTAATTGTGAGACTCAGTGCAAAGCAGGTGCATAGCCAGGGCCGGCTCCAGGCACCAGCCCACCAAGCTGGTGCTTGGGGCGGCACCTGGAGGGGGGCGGCGCGGCGCTCCGGCCCGAAAGCGGGGCCACGACTGGGCTCGCCGCCCTCCCCCCAGTGCTGCCTCTGGCCGCCGGGGGGCCCCGCGCCCCGGCGGGGCTCGCCGCCCTCTCCTGCCGGGGGGGGCGGCGGGAGGCTTTTTTGCCTGGGGCGGCAAAAAAGCCAGAGCCGGCCCTGTGCATAGCTACAAGTACATTTTTGTAAACCTGACTAATTTTGAAAACAAAAGTTTCTCTTTTACTTTTGAATAAATGAAACTCTGAATTACATTTCTAAAATGTAGCCTACCTATGCTGTGAGGCACCTGAAGAGAACACTCGGACATTGTCACATCCTGTCCATTTTGTAGTAAACATTTGCTGATATACAACATATGAAGCTACACATTTAATCAGAAAAATAGGAACAGAAAATATATGTGCAACACAGATAAATTAACACTACTGTTGAAAGCAAAACTTTGCACTATGGAGCCTGATTTCCCAGCCGCTCCATGCAAGCTACTCCCTCTGATACCTATGGAAGCTGCACACCTGAAGAAGTGGGTCCCTGACTTCTGATGATCAACTATGCAATCTTATCGCTACTTTCACCCAATTTTGGCATTGAATTTCTTCATTTTTAAAGAAAAATATTCCTGTAAGCTAAATTACACTATAAGACTTTTCTATAAGAAAATAAATTCAGTAACTGGAAATTTAAAAAGTAGTTTTAGTGCAAGATTAAGAAAAAAAAAGGGAATGCCTATTTCTGCAAATTTAAAAAACAAAACCCAAAGCATATGTGCTTGTAATCTTCTCAGGAATTCAGACCAACATGACAAAAGGAGCAAAGAAAGTGGTACTTGGTAGGGATTTCATACATTGTTGAGTACATCTCCACTAGCTACTCTCTTTGGCAGCAAACAAATGTCATGTTAAGGACTCCATCTTGTCCCTCAGATAGCACAGGAATGAATATGGTATAAAGATACAGACAGACAGATATATATATATATGTATATAGGATAGGCAGTATTCTAACACATGGCATGTCTTGCCAGATAGCTTATAACAACCATCTACTGAATTTATGTAAGAATATGGGAATCAAGTATTAACAATGGAACTTTATGCTAGCAGAAACAGTGACACTCTATGGTTAACAAGCAAACCCTTGCTGATGTGCACCTTTTTCTGCTTGTTCAATGATTTGCCTCACTGCTTTCTTTAAACTGTTTGCCCGCAGCATTAACTGTTCTCTTGGTTTGAAGATTTTCTGAGTGGAAGACTTTGCAATGCTCTCTGTTAACTGTTCCTTGCTTTCAGACAAGGATTCTTCACTTGAAAACTCCTCAACTTCTTCCTCTACAATGGGGGGAGTGATCCGTGGTAGGATGGGAGTAGCCTGGGCTTCGGTGTGAAGAGCCTGGAGCAATAGGTCTAGCTTCTCATTTAATTCTGAACACTAACAAAGTTACACATACAAACAAAAAGAAAAAAAAATCACTTGAGTGTCAATTCAAAAGTTAACTACCAGATTGTCTAAAGTCTAATCTGGGGTAATGATTTGTCTGGTGCAGGATATTTTTTGTATTCTTCATTAAACACTACTTTAATAGTTTTCTATTTTGTTTAAGCATACAGTGAAGAAAAAAATATCAGAGACTGAAATACAAAGGCATCATGGTACAATAACATAGTCAACAGAGCAAGTATTTTTTTTCCTGCAATGTAATTTTTTTCTCTCAAACCAGACTCTTAATTTCCTTATCCACTCTAGATCACGCGTCTGTGATTTCAGCCTGGCCCACTATATGTACTATTGTCCCCTCTCCTCCAGCTGGGTTATTTTCTCTTCACAATCCCATTGTTTTATTGCAATTAACTGTATCCCTTTCAGAGAGAAGTCAATTCCTACAGCAGTATATTTCTGTGAATGTCTGTGGTTGTAGCTATGCATTGTACTCACTTTCCTAATATACGCCTAGGACAGCAGTTCTCAAATGGTGGGTCAGGACCCCATAGTGGGTCACAACCCCATTTTAATGGGGTCGCCAAGGCTGTCTTAGACTTGCTGGGGCCCAGGGCCAAAGCCCGAGCCCCACCGCCCAGGGCTAAAGCTGAAGCCCAAGGCTCATGTTACAGCCCCCTCTGCCTGAAGCTGAAGCCCTTGGGCTTTGGCCTCCCTGCCCAGGGCAGTGGGGCTTGGGTTTGGGCTTTGCCCCCCCCCCCATTGGGGCAGCGGGGCTCTGGTGGGCTCAGGCTTCAATCCCCCATCCTGGGGTCTTGTAGTAATGTTTGTTGTCAGAAGGGGGTCACGGTGCATTTAATTTGGAGAACCCCTGGGCTAGGATATATACTCTCTATTAACTGAAAAGTAATTTTCAATTGATAAGCTTTTCAATAACATCTAGTGTCCATTATTTAGCCTCACCAAAGGAAGGCTGAGGGGAGATATGATTGCTGTTTATAAATATATCAGAAGGATAAATACCAGGGAGAGAGAGGAATTATTTAAGTTAAGCGCCAATGTGGACACAAGAACAAATGGACATAAATTGGCCATCAATAAGTTTAGACTTGAAATTAGACAAAGGTTTCTAAACATCAGAGGAGTGAAGTTCTGGAACAGCATTTCAAGGGCAGCAGTGGGGGCAAAAAACCTAACTGGCTTCAAGACTGAGCTTGATAAGTTTATGGAGGGGATGGTATATTGGGACTGCCTACAATGGCATGTAGCTGATCTGCGACGGGTAGCAGCAAATATCTCTAATGGTTGGTGGTGGGACACTAGATGGGGAAATCTCTGAGTTAGCACAGAGAATTATTTCCCAGGTGTCTGGCTGGTGGGTCTTGCCCACATGCTCAGGGTCTAACTGATTGCTATATTTGAGGTCGGGAAGGAATTTTCTCCTGGGTCAGATTGGCAGAGAACATGCAGCATGGAGCATGTGTCACTTGCACGTTTAAAATAGTGCAAATGGTAGATTCTCTGTAACTTGGAGTCTTTAAATCATGATTTGAGGATTTCAGTAACTCTGCCAGAAGTTAGGGGTGTATTACATGGGAGGATGCGTGAGATTCTGTGGCCTGCAATGTGCAGGAGGTCAAACTAGATGATCATGTCGGTCCCTTCTGACCTTAAAGTCTATGAGTCTTGTTTTTATTTTGTGGAATGGGAAAGAAAAAAGGTCATCTTTAGTAAATTTAATAGATTGTTTTCTAATGTAAAGTTGGTCCCTTTAATGGAAAGAAAACAACTTATAGCCACTGACCTCATTGAGAATAGGGTCAGGTCTCCTGAACTATTTTTGAATTAGAATACCCAGTCCCCCTAAATTAATTTAATTTTCATTAAATTTTAAAAACCTAATAGTAGCTGGGAAAAAACATGTTAAGAAAAGTTCTTACTTTAATGGCCATGGTATCAGCTTCCTCTGCATTTTCCATTGTTTTTTCATAGGTCTTCCCTATTTTGGATACGAAGTCCTTTACGGTTTCACATAATATCCTTTGGATAAAGAAAGGGAGTCAAATAAAAAGAAATGAACTGGATGTATCTATTCATATTGATTATTGGATGTATTTTTTTAATTACTAACATAGTTTTGGTTTTCTTATTACAATTCCACCAAACTCAAAGAGAACTCCCATGCTTCTTTTGCATGAGAACATTAAGAAAAAGTTATAGCCAAAGTTTTAAAATCACACACTTCACATGTGGAAGTGGACGAACCAATAAAATTATAGCCATTACTCTACAGTGTATATATAACTGTAGACCATTCTGGTTGTAAAGGGGACACCATCAAATAATTTTGAAAAGTAGATTTTATATTTTTCTTTTTAAGTATCCAGTGCCTTTTGGTACACATTGGTTCCCTACCCCTTCCTTCCGTTTTCCCTTCTATTTCTAACTGAGATGACATTAACGTGGTCATTTTTATTTATTGCCTTGTTTGCATACCTTTTAGTATCAGTATCATCAACCATACCAACAGAGTTGATAACAACTTGTGCTCCCTCTACGGACTTAGGCCAATCTGCAAATCACTCCACGTGGGCAGACCCTTGCACTCATGCAGACTTCAGTAAGACTCCACATGGGTACACGGGTCTGTACCGGGGCAGCACCCACCTCTCGAGAGTGCCTCCTTCTGGTCTGGTGCGTCTGCAGTCTTTCAGTTCTGTTGACCCCTGTCAGTGGTTCTCAGGTGGTTTTCCAGTGACTCAGCCCTTCGGCTGAGTCACACACACTGTGTATGTGTATCAGAACAGACCCCTTCTGGGGTATAAAGTCCTCAGCATCCCTTGGCTGGTATCTCTCTAGCCCTCCCTGGTCTCAGTCTTTAAGTAATCCTGGCCCGGGTATGGGGCCATACTCCTAGAGCTTCCTTTCTGGAGACACTACCTTCCTGTGGCCCTCCCCAGGCTCAGTCCTTACTCAGTCCCAGCAGCCAGCCAGGAGCTCCTTTGTTGCTCCCCCAGTCCCTGCCCACATTGAGCTGTCTGTGGGTCCTGCTGCTCTTTCAGACAGACAGGAACACAGTCCTCTCTTCTCCAGCTCCAGCCAACAATTGACTGCTGCTCTCTTCTGCAGCTCCTTTTATATGGCCCTGTTGGGCCCTAATTGGCTGCTTCCCTGCAACCACTCTAGGCCGCTTGGAAGACTTCTTTTCTGCTCCTTCCTGGCCTGGGCCTAGTCCACCCCATCACAGGGTCCATTTACAGAGTTCTCAATGCAGGATCGAGACCTTTGAGACACATGCTATCCTGAGATATACCTGTCCAAATGACAGTGATGTGAGTGACCTTTCACTAGTGTAAATGAGAGCAAAATTTGGCCTTTGTTGCTTACTCTGAACATACAGAACAAATTTATGTGTTGGGCTTGCAAGAACACCTAATATTGTTAATTGTGTGTAGTTTCAATTCACAATGAATAAATGGTGGATCTTAAAAAGAGAGTCAACAATTAAAATCAAGAGTTCTGATCATCTGGCACAGATAAATATTAAAGGTGCAGTATGTAGACCGTCCTGATACAAACTGCATTGTACTAACCTGCTTTCTTAGATGGAAAAGAACTGTAATGACAGATGCATACAATCTTGGCTCTATTGTCAGTCAATTGGCCGCTGCCAAAATGAAAGGCCCCTTTTAATTTGAGGGAGTCAACAAGCAAGTGGACAAGGGGGATCCAGCGGATATAGTGTATTTAGATTTCAGAAAGCCTTTGACAAGGTCCCTGACCAAAAGCTCTTAAGCAAAGTAAGCAGTCATGTGATAAGAGGGAAGGTTCTCTCATGGATTGGTAACTGGTTAAAAGATAGGAAACAAAGGGTAGGAATAAATGGTCAGTTTTCAGAATGGGGAGAGGTAAATAGTGGTGTCCCGCATGGGTCTGTACTGGGTCCAGTCCTATTCAGAAATGATATGGAAAAAGGGGTAAACAGTGAGGTGGCAAAATTTGCAGATGATACAAAACTACTCCAGATAGTTAAGTCCCAAGCAGACTGTGAAGAGCTACAAAAGGATCTCTCAAAACTGGGTGACTGGGCAACAAAATGGCAGATGAAATTCAAAGTTGATAAATGCAAAGTAATGCACATTGGAAAACATAATCCCAACTATACATATAAAATGATGGTGTCTAAATTAGCTGATACCACTCAAGAAAGAGATCTTGGAGTCATTGTGGATAGTTCTCTGAAAACATCCACTCAATGTGCAGCGGCAGTCAAAAAAGCAAACAGAATGTTGGGAATCATTAAGAAAGGGATAGATAATAAGACAGAAAATATCATAGTGCCTCTATATAAATCCATGGTACGCCCACATCCTGAATACTGCATGCAGATGTGGTTGCCCCATCTCAAAAAAGATATATTGGAATTGGAAAAGGTTCAGAAAAGGGCAACAAAAATGATTAGGGGTATGGAACAGCTTCCATATGAGGAGAGATTAATAAGACTGGGACTTCTCATCTTAGAAAAGAGATGACTAAGGGGGGATATGATAGAGGTCTATAAAATCATGACTGGTTTGGAGAAAGTAAATAAGGAAGTGTTATTTACTCCTTCTCATAACACAAGAACTAGAGGACACCAAATGAAATTAATAGACAGCAGGTTTAAAACAAACAAAAGGAAGTATTTTTTTCACACAACATACAGTCAACCTGTGGAACTCAGCAAGGTAAAATGGAACACTATGATTTCATATGGGATTCATGATTTCTAGAGAGATGAGCCCTCATATATAGAGGTGTTCAAATTTGGGATCAAAATTCTGTGGCTTGAGCCCATATTTAATTATTCCATATAGCTGCAGACTCCTACTTCCACATTGGTTATGTGTGTGCGTCTAATAGACTGGATGTGAACAAAAAGAACCCCTTTAAGTAAACCAGATCTCTTATATGCAAAAGTAAAAATATGGCTTACATTTTAACTCAGTATACTAATGTCTTAATTAACTAAGTGATTTTTGCATTACATGATCTTTAAGATTTTTGTGTGATTGATATGTTTAAATTACATTAACACATACAATATAATTATACAATACAACATAATTATAAAAAGAAACCAGCTGTATTTTATAACATGTAAATCAGGATACTGTTAGGTCAAACTATCTGATCAAGAGTCAGAAGGAATTTGAGCTTACTGGAAAGGTTATAATATTCATATATGTAGATGGAACACTGGGATTTATCCCACACACTATATATCAAAATCATCAACTCACTTGGCAGATGATATGACAACTGAGTGTTGATCAGAATTGAGGATTTTTGTGAGATGAGCAGCAACTGAATCCTCATAAGCAGATATCTGAAAATGCAGCAAAAATGAGTCTTCATATTCCACCCGTGTTAGCATTTAACACAAAGCGGTAATTATCTTCCCAGATAAGTGGGATTACTTCCAACATATTAGATCTACACTTAGTGCAGAAAGGTCAGATGCCTCCCCTTAACTGCAATTTAATATTCAAAATCACAGTGACTGTGAGATGTTGAATTAAGAGTTCTATCTTTTCTGGGTAAAAAATGAGTAATAGTTATTTCTGTACTAAAAATCCAATTAAAGGTTTCTTTGAAGTTATCACCTTCCATAGCCAACCATATCATTCTATTTTTCCAGATGGTGGTCTGAACAGATTTCAGATCTGTAATAGTCAGAAACTTTTTTCCAGAAAAAAGTGAAAGATACCCTGCAACTAAATCAATGGGTTGGGAATAAATCATAGTTTTAGGGCCAGCTTCTGAAATCCTTATTAATACTGAATAGTACCTCATTCCACAAGTTGTCCCACTGAAGTCAATAGGGTGAGCAGTGGAGTATGGGCTACTAAACTGGTATAATACCATCAAAGCCTTAATGAATAAACCATTTGTGACAAGATTCTGCTTGGCCTTTATGTAGATGCATGCAGGGAAGAGCATAGAGACGTCCCCTGCCCCCTGCTTGCACAGTCTGTGTAAGGATCACACAGAACTGCACACCCTATGCTCAGGGAGGGTAGGGAGGCATCATGGACCCTGACCATGTCCATAGACCTCACCCTGCACCAGCAAGTAGGAGCAGCAAGCTACACCTTAACAGCATCTGATTTTTCTCTGTGCACCAGAGAGCTATTCTGCCTCCTGACACACTCTCTAGGGTGGTGCAGCTCCACGCTGTCCCTAATGGTGGGCAGTCCATATCAGGTATGGATCTAGCCCTTAGTTTAAAATCTAAGTTCTGCTTCAAAATGACTGTGTGTTCTTGAGATTTAAAGATTAGTGACTTGGGTTTCCATTCATTACATTGAATAAGTAGAAATATAATTTCTTCTTTTCCTTTATCCACCCACCTTAGCTCCAGAGCTCTGATATGAAAGCATCTTTAATTTTAAAGAGAAAATAAATAAAATGTAGCATGGGAGAACAAACCCTGATGTCTGAGCTCCCAATGTGGCTCAAATGAAATGGTTATGATGACAATGAGAATGTGTATCAATATCTACCATTTTAAATCAATGCTGTAATTTGGTACAATACATAATGTAAGATTAGTCTATTAGTCTCTACTGTTTCAAATACTTAAAATTCAGTTTAACCCAAACTAAACCATACAGAAAATATTAATATGCAGAGGGGTGGGGGGGTGGAGGTAGTTCAAGGTGCCCAAAAGAAAACAATCCTTTATAATTCAAGATAATTACAGTTAGCAAAACGGCCTATGGTACCTATTCTCTAAATACTAAGATTACAAGTATTCTACAACTAATTTCTTTAGCTTTAATTGGAACTACGTTTAACAATTTCGTAGGAAGATATAATGGAACATTCCATACATTTTCTTTTTCTTAACTGTAGAAGATGAAGATGTATTTGAAGGCACTGACCGTTCTACAAAATGGTAGAAGAATACATAATCTCTGCAGTGCATTACTGACATCTATCCACTGGGGACAGAGTTGTATGGTAAAGGACCATAGGCGCAGGAAATATGTGTGCTCCGCTCCTGAACCCCGGCTGCTGTCAGCCCTGCGCCCAGGGTCCCCTGGCTGCTGCCAGCCCTGCACCCAGGACTCTGCTCCCATCCCCAGCTATGGTCCCAGCCTTGGCCCCCTTACTCCTGTCTGTGTATTCCCCTCCCGGAGCCACGACCCTGCTCCTGGCCCCAGCTCTGGGGGGTGGGGAGACGAGGTAAAAAGTTTGAGGACCACTGGCTTTCAGCACCCCCACTGTAAAAAGTGTTCCAGCACCACTGCAAAGAACAGTAGAATTTCAGCTGTTGGGACCCCAGCCTCTCTGAATCTCAGTTATCTAATGAACTCCCAGCATTTAACAACTCCTGACTATCCAAATAGGTTTGGTAATGTTTAAATGGTTAAATTAATCAGGGACCTACTAATTAATTTCTGCTTCTCAAGTATTCTTAAGTTAAGATTGATAGCTACATGAAATCTTGCAGGAGGGTGATATTTTTCCATTTCCAGACATAACTACATTTTTATGCCACATGAATTTAATCACAACACTTCATCCCACCCCCAGATTGATGCTACAATGGGAGCGAGGTAGGCAGCTAGTTTGAAAGCTGTATTAGGATATTCCACCAGTCCAGCAATTATTTGGAGACTTCTGAATGGACAAAAAGGGGAGAGAAGAACATGAAGTCCTGTAAAACACTTTCATCGGGTCCAAAATGGCTTTATTCTTGTCAAGAAAGCAAATTCCTTCCCAAAAAACCTCTCATTTCATTTTCCCCCAAATTCAAGATATACTAGTAAATGTTTGCTTTTACAAGAAAATTCTTGCATTGTTGGTGTGAGTTCTTTCTGATCGCTCTGATGAGGACCACCCACTCACCTCACTCTTTTTTGGAAAAATAATATGAAATATTTTAACCAAGAAATGGAAACCTTATTATATTATATACTTATGACATGAACTAGATCTGACTTAAAGAGCAATTGAAGAGACTTATTTCTCTGTACCACTTCTCAGAACTGTTTTCGTTATCTTTTCAGTGTTGTCACTCAAACAGCTAAATGTATGCAAAATAAAGCCTCACCTGACATTCCTCAGATTCCTCTTCTGGAGTAACTGGAAGAATAGATGGCTTTGATGGTAATTTCAGTTCATATGACATTATACTCCATCTGAAGGAAATAGAAGCAGCAGCTTTTGAAGTTTTCCAAATTATCAGATTCTTCTAAGAACATCCACAAAACAAACACTTCCACTTGTCAACAGAAAGAAAATTCAGTGACCAATTACTAAATAATCACACACATAAGGGGCCTTTCCTGGAGTTTTCAGCCTCAAAAAGGATTTCACCCTGAGTACGACGAACAACAAAAACTCTTATTAGAAAGTTAGTGGGAGTTGTGAATTATCAGCATCTCTTGAGTCAAGCCACTGAGCTATGAGAATTCATTGTCATCTCACAACGATTCACTGTTTAATTGTTTAACATGTATTACCTACGATATCCAAATTACTTCCTGTATAAAAAGTCCCATCAACTTTCATTATGCATCAGCTACTTATAGCAGGTAGTGTGGTGCACTGGATACGACACTGGATTGGAAGTCAGGAGACCTGGCTAGTATTCCCAAATTCTGCTACTGACCTACTGTGTAACCTTGGGAAAGTCACCTCACACCTCCCTGTGCCTCAGCAGCCCCATCTGTAAAAGGGGACTAACAGTACTTACCTTCCTTTCTAAAACACTTTGAGATAAGAACATAAGAATGGCCATAGTGGGTCAGACCAATGGTCCACCTAAGCCTGTATTTTAGGGTAATTTTGTACAGTCTACAAACTTTGCAACCTCACTGTTTACCCCTTTTCCCAGACCATTTAGCAATATGTTGAGCAGCTCTGTTCCCAGTGCAAATCCTTCGGGGACCCTCCTATTTACCGCTCTCCATGTGAAAACTGACCATTTATTCTTTCCCTTTGTTTTCTATCTTTTAACCAGTTACTGATCCTTGAGAGGACCTTCCCTCTTATCCCATGACTCCTTACTTTGCTTAAGAGCCTTTGGTGAGGGACCTTGTCAAAGGCTCTCTGAAAGTCTGAGTTCACTATATCCACTGGATCACCTTTGTCCACATGCTTGTTGACTCCTCTCAAAGAATTCTAATAGACTGGTGAGGCATGATTTCTTTTTATAAAAGCCATAATGACTCTTCCCCAACATATCATGTTTATCTGTGTCTAATAATTCTGTGCTTTGCTGTGGTTTCAACCAATTTGCCTGGTACTGAAGTTAGGTTTACAGGCCTGTAACTGCAAGGATCACCTCTGAAGCCTTTTTAAAAAAAATCAGTGTCACATTAGCTATCCATCAGTCATTTGGCACAGAGGCTGATTTAAGAGATAGGTTACATACAATAGTTAGTAGTTCTGTAATTTCACATTTGAGTTCCTTCAGAACTCTTGGGTGAATACCATCTGGTCCTGGTAACTTCTTATTGTTTAGTTTATCAATTTGTTCCCAAACCTCCTCTACTGACACCTCAATCTAGAACAGTTCTGGGACAAAGTATCTTCATTAATTTCAACTTCTTTCTGGCATAGAACAGTATTGCATAGCACTGACAGTATGAAGCTGCTAAAACTAACATGCCTCAAAATATGCAAAAGAAAGCAAGTAATTGCCAAAAAATGACCTTGGAAACAGTCTATGGAATTTACAGGGAGAACTGACCCCAAGTTTTTTTTAATTAAAACAGAAAAAAGTGATTTATTAATAGTCTTCTAGGCATGTTTCTGAATGCTTACCTTAAAGTTATTACTAAGGATCAATAACAAGAACTTTTTATGTTGTAAAATGATCCAGTGATCAGATGAGGAATTCACGATAAAAAGGACTCCTGATTTTGTGTGAGAGACATAGGAATGGGGGTAGTGTGTAATTATTTTGTAATATGCACATACATACACACACGTGTACAAAACACATACACACACCAATAAACAATAGGGTATGATGTCTTCATTGGATTGTTAGCACAGCCAATTTGTTTTTTAAACTCAAAGATCTTCCTTTGCTACATAAATGAACACAGCTGCCATGCAGCTCTCATGCAAAACAAGGAACAGGGAGAATAGTTGCTTTTGGACCAAAAACTGAGAAAATGAACTCAACTGGTGATGGGGTTTGTTAACGTGCTATCTTTTAAGCTGTTTAAACAACAAAAACAACAACAAATTAAACCTCTGAGAAAGAGTTTTAGGCCATTAGAAACCCGGGCAGGTATTTCTGAAATTTGTCACAAATACACATACACACATACTTATATTTTTACCTGTCCAGCATTTTAGTGCTGGCTCGTTCTAACTTTTCCAAAATCTGAGGAAGTTGTGTGTCATCATCACATGACCCTCCCCAACCAAGGACACGGGCAAGATCATTTCCAGTACCAAGGGGAAGCACTCCCAGCTGACACTGAAATACAGCAAAAGAACAAATCTTTTTTTTGCAAATAAAAGAACTGGAAGCATGAACTAACACGGGGTGGGCAAACTTTTTGGCCCGAGGACCACATCTGGGTGGGGAAATTGCATGCAGGGCCATGAATGTATACCTGGGGAAGGGGGTTGGGGTACAATTTGCAGGAAGGGGCTCAGGGCAAGGAGTTGGGGCAGAGGAGGGGTGTGGGATGTATGAGGGGGCTCAGGGAAGGAGGTTGGGGTGCAGGGGGGGTGCACAGTGTGGGAGGAGGCTCAGGGCAGTGGTGCAGGGAGGGGTGCGTGCAGGAGGGGGCTCAGGGCAGGGGGTTGGGGTACAGGAGGAGTGCGAGGTACAACAGGGGGCTCAGGGCAGGGGGTTGAGGTGCAGGCAGGGGGCTCAGGGCAGGGAGTTGCGGTGCAGGGTTCATACTTACCTGGAGCAGCTCCGGGGTGGCAGTGGCGTGCACCAGGGCCTGCCTGCCCTGTCCCTGTCCCCGCGCTGCTCCGCTTGTATGTGGCCCCTGGGGGTAGGGGAGCAGAGGGCTCCATGCGCTGCCCTCGTGCTGCCCTCACCTGTGGGTACCTCCCCTGATGCTTCCATTGGCCACGGTTCCCACTTCCCAGAGCGGAGCAGGGCCCGCGGCGCCACTGGGGTGTTAATCCCGCGGGCCGGAACCAAAGCCCTGAGGGGCCGGATCCGGCCTGCGGGCCACAGTTTTCCCACCCCTGAACTAACACAAATGTTTACCCTTTCAAGAAGCAAATGTTAATTATATAGCTGATTACTAATTCAAACCTGTAGGTCAAATCCTATGGTCCTTATTCAGTTCAAATTTCCCAGGGACTTCAGTGAGAGTGTTGATTAAGTAGGGACTACAGGATTTGGCCCTCTACCTACCTACCTATCTATCTATCTGTGGGGAAAGGTAAAAAAAAAAAGTAAGTACATACACTTGCCTGTTTGTGCAAGCTGAGTTTATCAATTTCTGACAAAACCCAACCAACGCTTCCATCTCCACCACATACAAGAATCCGGAAATTGTCAAACTTCTGAAATAACCGCAAACTAAAGGGAAAATGCAACTAGTTAGAATGCATGCCCATTAATGGATATTCAATGAAAACGCTTGTGTTTACAGTACATAGGTGCCTGCTTTTGCTTTTATGATAATAGGGATGTAGATAAGTCCAACTACTACACCATATGTAACTTACACTTTTATCTGTTACAATATATTCTACCTACCCTATTTTCTGGGAAATAACATGCAGAATTTTAATGAAAAATTTCCCTTTAAGATCTCATGCACAGTTTTCAGTTTTTTTAAAAATATGAGGTTTGTCAGAATACCGAGCCAAACCACAGAGTCCATGCGCTGAGAATGCCAATCAAAGTCAGATGTTTGAGGCACCATGGCAGTCAATGGGAGTTTTGCACCAGTAAAGGTTAAGTTATGATTGCAGTGTGTGGTCCAGAATGTGGATGGGGTGGACAGTCCAGTCCCCTGACAACTTGTGACTTTTCTAAATCAAAGGAAAATTAATCACTATACATGACATGGTGATCATAGGAATACAAGGCAAACAGAGCGAATATATTTCATACTGGATCTTCAAACAATGTCTTGTTTCTACTCATAGACTTTACCTGCCTCCAGTTCCTTCAGTTCTCCAAATTCTGCCAAGATACACAATACAATATTCTCCTTAGGTGATAAAGAAAAGGAGGACAAAGGAGACAGAGAACAAACGGAGAGGTGAGACTAAGAGGAAAGGAGGAGACATGAAGAAATAGAGATCAAAGAGGAGAGAGCAAGAATGGGAAAACTAAGAGAAAATAAGGGCAGAAATACTAAAAAAAATACTGATTCTTTACATGATAAAAATAGGGCTGTGTATTTTTATGCATATTATTTTCCAGAACATGTATCATCTTAGCATTATTTCTAAAAGAAGCACATAATGTGAATGTCAGATTTTTGAAGTGTTTATGACATTTCTAATGAAAATACTGAATCTTGTATAATAGGCAGATGTATATTCAAAACAAGACACAATATTACTTATCTCAAACAGTGTTTGGAATCACAAAGCTGATGCCAAAATGATATTTGCCACCCCAGGAACAGAAATAATCCTCTAGAAGTACACTGTACAGAGAATAAGATTTTGCCTTTTAAATAGCTGAAAACAGGAACTTATCAGCATCACCTGATAGACGAGGTGCCACAGACCCCAGTTTGGGAACCACTGCCATAGTGAATCACCTCCCAACTCTAGTACTGTGTCAAGTATTTAAACCAAGGTGCTTTTGAGATACAACTTTACAAAAACTCCAGACTTTTAAAAAACTTAAGATACATTTTTCAAACTTTCATATCTCAAAAATGGCTTGTCCAATTCAATTGAAGTTTCCTCTCTTTTTCCTCTGGCAAGAGACTGCATGTGAAATATTAGGTGGAAAGGATGTTTTCTAAGTTAAGTCTGATCTAAATTAGGGTTATGCTGGAAAGTGAGTTACAGATATAGATTTAAATATACATATAGATACATGCATTTTTTATTTGGGGGCATTTTTAATTTTTTATCATACAAACATAGTTCTGCGCATAAGTGCTGGAACTAGGGGTGGGAGGTGCGGTAGCACCCCCTGTCTTGAAGTGGTTTCTATTATATACTGGGTTTACAGTTTCGTTCAATGGTTCTCAGCACTCCCATTACACAAACTGTTGCAGCATCCCTGGTTCTGCATCTTTAAAAATGTAAAATCAATATATTCACTTGCTGTTACCTGACATGAATAGGACATTTAATCACAAAGCAATATTTGAGTGGAATGCATTTAGGTCACAAACATTTGTATATAAATTTAGTATTTTATGAAAGCATTGAAGTAGCTTGAAGTATGGCAATCACTGTGCAAGTTTCCCTCCTATATCTCTACCAATTTACTTAAACCTCGACTTGTGTTACCTCTGCTATTTCAGTCCTGGCTTTGTCTCAAACAAAGACATGACAAATTTTGTGTAAAGCTCACAGAATAACTCATTTGCATTTGTGACCTAAACTGTAACCTGAATTTAGACCTCCAGTGGTGAAAAGCTAATGTACTTAACCAACCACATGATTTCCTGTAGTATTTTCAAAGTGCCATTTGTGTCCAAAATTCTAAGGGCAAGTCTACACTACAGCGCTACATCGGGGCAGCTGCACTGATGCAGCAATGCTGCTGTAGCACGTCTGGTGAAGATGCGATATGCGAATGGGAGAGTGTTCTCCTGTCAGCATAATTACTCCACTACAGCGAGAAGCGGAAACTATGTCGCGAGAGAGCATCTCCTGCTGACATAGAGCTGGAGTGAACAGCGCGAAACTTGTGTTGCTCATAGGGGAGCTTTTTCACACTCCGGAGTGACGTAAGTTAGAGCAACTTAACTGGTAGTGTAGACCTGCCCTAAAGCTTTGTTAGAATATTTTTCTAAAGCTATTTTAAGACATTATAGAAATATTTACACATACATATTTCTGTATATAGATATTCACAATGAGCTGCCAATCATAGCTGAGCTGTATGTTGAAAATACACACACAAAAAAGAACAAATTTCTTTCAGCTGTGTATAATGCCCTGATTCAGGAAAGCACTTAAGCATGTGCTTAATTGCCTTCCTAAATCAGGGCCTTAGTAGGTATGTCTACACAACCTGTGGCAGATCAGCCCCCTCCCTGGGCTTCAGAGCCCAAGCTCCAGCCCCAGCCCCAGCGCTGTCTACACAGATATTTTTAGAGCACTAGCACGAGCTCCACAAGCCCCAGTCTGTCACTGCTGCAGGCTGTATAGACGTAACCGTAGAGACCACAGCCTGGAGCTAGCCAAAAGTCCATGAAAAATATGAATGCATTTTTAATTTCAAGTGAATCTTTTTTTAAAATAAATAAAATCCTACACACCCTCAGAACTGATAATGAAATTATAGGTGACTGGTGTTTTAAATTTTACTTTTATCCATTACAGATGCCAATAGGAAAGCAAATATCAGAGATTTGTAAAAAAAAATACTATAATTAGAGGACAACTGAGTCACTTTTGTACTCAATTCCCTTTGAAAAGGCTTGCTCAAGATTGAAAAGTTCATTACCCTAAATGAGGTCCTCCATTCATTAAATCAAACACCTGAGCTGGATTTAGCGACTGTTTGAATCGACGAAGAAACTTTACTCCCTGATTGTCTCCACTCTTTGAGTTAACAAAAACTAAAAGAGGACTGGCACAGGATGGCGGGCATGTGGCTTTCCAAAATCCTGTGAACAAAGTTAGAAAGAATGAAATAAATAAGATCTTTATATATGAACACATTCAAGAGAAATCACGAGAAAGAAGAGGAAAATGGATGAAAGGACAAAAGGGATGCAATCATACGATGCATGATGCAAAAACTGAACTGAGTATTAGCCTCAAGGAGAATAGCAATGTTATATTAAAACTACTTCAAATTTACTACTCTGCTTTTTGTCTCCCGGATTTTTATCTGAACTTTTGTCTACATTTAGCAAAACACAAAAGAAAATAGCTTTATTTTCCACAGCAAAAAGGTGGGTTGATGGAATGTTTCAATTTTTTCCAGCACACATCACCATAACATCAAATACATTTTCCAGATATAAACCATATTTTTTTCTGACTTGTTGTTTTTAAAAGCTTCTATCAAGTTGCACCACACTGCAGTAGTGTCGAATTGAGCCCTCCAATCTACAAAAGTTCCCATTCCCACCAAATTTAAGAACCCCCATACATTTCCATTAAATGTTATGTTGTTAAATTACTCCCAACTGAGACTTTGCATGAAAACTTTTATTTCAGACTGAATTTATACAGCTGAGTTATAATGGAAGGACAGAATAACACACTCTTACGGTCTGATCCAAAGCTTACTGAAGTCTTTGCAAGACTTTCAATTGTCTTCAATGGGCTTTGGGTCAGGACTTTAGTAAACAGTGCTAATGGACAGTGTTGTCATGAAAATCACATTCATTGAGGGCCCAATGGGAGTTACGGATGCTCAGCACCACTTTGAATCAGGCCATATGTGACCAGGTTTCGACTCTTATTTCAGGCAAGAATAAAGTAATTATCTCTTTTTAATTGTCTAAAAACAAATCTGAAAGCTAAAAATCTTATCAGTTCTGATGAATTAGAAAAAATTGACTTTGAAAGTGTAAGAAGTTTAATATAATTCCACTTTCTATTAATGCATAATTTAAAACAATATTATTTTTGATTGGTAAGCAATCTAATTGCACTAATAATGAAAGCAATCTTCTTAGCATGAATAATAAATAGCAGCAATTTCACTGCTTCAGCCAAAGACATTAGACAGTAAGTTCACACAGTCAGTGAACATCTCCAGTATTCACAGTCATTTATATCAATCCCATACATAAAAAAAGTGCCTAACTTAGAGGTAAGGTAGTTGGGTTGCATATGCCACCAACACAAACTATAAAAAAAATGAAATAAAACAGTTTAGTTTCTCAGCACTCCACTCAACAATTCATCTTCCCAACCTCAACTTCACCTTCTTTCCTGCACCTACAGTCAAGCTCATCTCCATCCTGAACAACCAATGAGCACATTTCAATTTTCACTATCTTTAATGGTGATCTGTTCATGTTTCAATGACTAACATAGTGTTTCTGATTAAAATAAAATTTTGATAGAAAATGGAAATGATATTTTTTTATCCTCAAAAACACCAGAAGAGAGTGCATCTGAGGAGTTCAGTAAGCTAATTTTTGCGTAACACAAAACAGTGATTTGGAGTTAAAGAAATCATTCTTTGTGTTTTTCGAAAGTGGCCCATGTCAGAATGCATGTGTGTGAAGTTTTCAAGGACTCTGGTTGTTTAGCTGGCAGATCCCAGAGAAACATGAGAACAGAAAAATTTTAAAGGGGAGCATTTAAAAATATTTCCTCTGCAAGCTATTATGTACTTTTCTAAAATATAATTACATGGAAAATTCAATTACTATCTGAAGAGTTATTGTGCTAAATTTGGAGACTAAATTTATCTGTGAAAAAGAGGGATTTTAGTCCTGCTTCAGGTAGAAATCTCAGTGAAACCATAACTATAGAATACCTACTAATGGCCCTGTTATACTACGTACCATCAGAATCTATGCTGTTGAGTGCTGTTGGAGGTATGATGGATACCTTACATTGTCCAAGCGGACATTTTCGAGGATACAGATCTTTACAGGCAGTGTGAACCTGAGGAAAAATAAGTTAAATAAATAATTGTTTCCCAACATTTAATCTGATTTTATGGTAAAATTGCAATAGATACAGTAGCTAGATATTATTCAGAGATGGGGTAATATATAACAGACTATATTGCAGTATATTCAAACATATACAAACGTTAAACCATAGATCGTTTAGTTATCTATTTCTAAACAAAATATTCTGAATGCACTGCGATACTTAAAAATTCTGCAGATTTCCCACCAAAAGCACCAAATTACAGGACACTAACAAGAAATAAAGGCATCAAGGGAAGAAATGCAATTATATATTGATGAGAAGACAGTGACAGAATGATGGAGAATTTAAATCTATACCACATGAAGAATAGTACAGAAGATAGGAACAAGGGTAAAAATGTCTCAGCAGTTATATATTTCAGAATAGATTAGGACAATTAGATTTATATTTATTAGAAGAGACTAGGAAGCGAAAATGAAAGACATACATATAATTATAAGGGGCACAGAGTATGCCACCAATTATTCAAGCAGATGAGCTGCTCAAATCACAAGGGGCCTCTAGTACAGGATGAAGTACGAAGGGCCTGATCCAAAGCCCATTGAGGTAAAAGCAAAAGTCTCCCCTTGATTTCACTGAGCTTTGGACCATGGCCTCAGGGAGTTAGGAGAAATGCAAAGGATAAATGATACATAGCAAGGACTATTAAAGAAAAACCTGTATTTGTGGACCTATTAAAAACAACAGACAAGTGGGACAGACATTCTAGATTACGAATGTTACTGATCTGTCCAACTCACTCTCTATGAGCTGCCTGGTCCCCTTCCCTTCCAAAAGGTTAAGTAATGAAAAATAAGAATAATGGGTAAATAATCATCCTGGCAGAATCCAAGACATTTTTACAAGTCATATGGTACCTACCATAGCTTTACACCAAAGGCACTTCCAATCTTGGAGGCGTAAAACGCTGCCACAGGTCTTGTCGCAGACAGCACATTTGGCACTGACAGGCAAATTACCCTCCAACCATTGGTGAGGCATAGCTATCTGTGAGGAAGTTGTTATAAAGTTAAATGCCATGGCACGGAAACTTGCCATTAAAACTACAAAAAGCTCAGTAATTCAGTGTCCTCCTGAAACTTTCCTCTGATTTACTCTTTGCACCAATATCTAGATATGTAAATTTCTGTATGCGTGCATATTTTTGGCAATTCTAGCACTAATCTTCTAGATAAGAGTTTCATGCCAGTGGCTGTAAAATTAACTCATCTACTTTGACACAACTCAGACAAAAAGTTTTGTTACATTTTCTACTTTTAATTTTAACTCTTACATGTACCAATAGAACTACTATCTGTATGTCAATGAATTCCAAACAGATCTTCTGGGGAACTGGTGTCACTTACAAGTAGACAAAGCAGGCCGAGAAAACAGCATATCAACAAGACTAACACAAATACACCTTCTTCGCTCAAGTGGGAGAGAAAGGGGCTTCTCACAGCAATTCTCAAAGCTCAGAGGATTCATCCATACTTCCTCCAGAATTCTGTAATATGGAATTCTTCCCTCTAGAGCCCATTGATGGTAAATGTGTCTCCTGAAGAGCCCCTGAATTTTAATATAGTATCTATAGCAATACAGCCAACTACCATTCACTTTAATGGGTCATATGACAACATTTCTATACTGGCCAATTAAAAAATAAAATAAAATACCCACCAAACAATTAACTGTTGTGAAGTATTGAAAGCCTGAATAATACTTACACCATCTTCATCCTCAATGATATCTTTCCCAATGGAGGCTAACGTAGTCCACTTGCAATTATTTGTTGCCCTGACTGCACACCTTTTATGTGCTTTAAATTTACACACTAGAAGAAAGACACAAATGTACTTTATATTAGCTACTCCCTGATTGCAGTCTCTGTAAAGCATTACATCAACAGTTACATTTTCAGAAATTCAGTCAAATGCAAATCCCTCTATAAAACAGAGGAGTACATGTTCACTTACTGTTTCAGACAAAACACAAACCAATTAAAATAAAGAAAATTCAGAGTTCAAACTCACTCTACCTTTTACTTGCTGAACTGTATCTAGGGATTACATACTGCTGTTTGCTGGCTGCAAGATTACTCACTATTCTGTAAACCCTGAAATTCTTTAAGATATACAGACATTAAAGCATGGAATGGCAGTCTTGTCTCTTCTTGCTCTTGTCAATTATTCATATGTAAACTTTAGTTATTTTAATGACTTTTTAAAAAATGCAATTCTTTTATACTGTAGCTTTTAAAAATATCTTCCATTGACATGATAAAAGAGACAGCACAAATCTCTTGCTCGATATATTTTGAATGCAACCCTCATTACAGTTATCCATGGCTTTGTCACCTTGAAACTGAATTACTGCAATTGGAATACTCTACATGGGGTTATATTTGGAGACCATTTGGAAACTTTAGCAGATGCAGGATGCAATAGTCAGTTTGCTTAGTTATTCATGGAAGGAGCCTATTATAGCTGTCCTCTGAGATTCACATGGGCTCCCAATTAATTTCCAAGTGCAATTCAATGTACTTATTTTGACCTATAAAAATGTAATTGTTTGGGTCTTGGCTACCTGAGAAATTGTATCTCTCTTTGTGTGACATAGCAGTAGCTGAAATCACCTGAGGCATTTGAGCAGCTAGAGCTCTGGTTTAAATGTGAAGGAAATGCTTGCCGGGCATTTCCAGAGAAGGAATTTTATACTGGAGCAAACTTTTCTCTTTGTCCAACGCAGCCCTTTGCGGCACAATAGAAGGCCTGTTTCCAGTTTCCGTAGACTTCTGAGAAGGAGGAGGATTAGGAAGGTATGTGTCTATTCAGTAGACTGGGAGTTATTGTTGAGTCTCATAGGTTACCTGGGTAAGGACAAACCTAATTTTTAATAGATTTATTTTAAAAATCCATAGCTGTTTTAATGTATTATACATATGCCTCATGCATGTGGTTTGATATTTTAAAAGTCTGAATAATTTTTATTTTGTTTGATATAATTCGCATACCATATAATGAAATCATATTGTACCAAACAGACTGATGGATTACAGTTGAGTCTTTACGTTAGTGGAAGTGTATGAGATCATTCCATTTATAGAACTTTATATTTGCAATAACCATAAAAGCTTTATAAGAGCACGGGCAGTAGCAGTAGTTTCTTTGCAAACAAATATAACTATCAAATGCTTTGGCACAACATTTGTCCAAGATTCAAAGTGCTAAGATCTGGCACAAAAGGTCCCTCTGGAGTCTGGCTCACACATTTATTTATATTTTTAATACCGTTGTTCCATTGCCAGATTTTAAAAAAAATGAACAAGGCCTTTGCTCCTGCCTTGGCAGGGACTGGGAGAACATATGGTCCACCCACAGAAGAACAGAAGGAGCATCCCAGTTGCTCTCTAGCAATCCCCATGGCTATTTCAAAAGCAACATTCATGGGCTACAGCAGTATCTATGTCTATCCCTCCACAGCCAGAGGAATAGGGCCAGATTCTCAAAAACGCTCAGCACCCACATTGGTGCCAGATTTCCAAAAGTGCTCAGCTCCCCTTAAGGCACAGAAATAAGGGATGGATTTTCAAAGTGCTCGGCACTCTGCACTTTCCACTGGAACAGCCTGGGACACACTTTCCAAAGAACTGAGTACCTCCTGTGCTCAGCTCACTTGAAAATCCACCACTTAATCTGGTATCTGAATGGGAGCTAAGCACTTCTGAAAATATAGCCTTGACAGTGAGTGCTGAATGCTTTTGAAAATCTGGTCCATGAATATGGGGTCATGAGAACAAGAGCAGCACTAGACACAGTGATTCACACTTTTGTCACCTGCAGGCTGGTCTACTGCAGGCATCCTTGTGGCACCTTAGAAACTAACAAATTTATTTGGGCATAAGCTTTTGTGGGCTAGAACCCACTTCATCAGATGCATGGAGTGGAAAACACAGTGGCAGGTATATATACACCAGGGGTCTGCAACCTTTCAGAAGTGGTGTGCCGAGTCTTCATTTATTCACTTTAATTTAAGGTTTCGCGTGCCGGTAATACATTTTAACGTTTTTCAGAAGGTCTCTCTATAAGTCTATATATTATATAACCAAACTACTGTTGTATGTAAAGTAAACATGGTTTTCAAAATGTTTAAGGAGCTTCATTTAAAATACTGATTTTAAGACACCAACCTGCTCAGCCCGCTGCCAGCCTGGGGTTCCGTTCACCTAGGCCAGCAGCGGGCTGAGCGGGGCCTGCAGCCGGAACCCCGGCTGGCAAGGGTCCGGCAGCCAGAACCCCAGGTTGGCAGCGGGCTGAGCGGGGCCGGCGGCTGGGACCCCAGCTGGCAAGGGGCCAGCAGCCAGAACCCTGGGGCGGCAGCCAGAACCCCAGACCAGCAGCGGGCTGAGCGGGGCCAGGGGCCGGGACCCCAGACCGGCGGCGAGCTGAGCGGGGCTGGCACCCCAGACCGGCAGCGGGCCGAGCAGCTCAGCCCGCTGCTGGTCTGGGGTTCCGTCCACTGGCTCCTGCCAGCCAGGTTTCGGCCGCCAGCCCTGCTCAGCCCGCTACCGGTCTGGGGTTCTGGCTGCTGGCCCCTTGCCAGCTGGGGTCCCAGTCGCTGGCCCCGCTCAGCCCGCTGCCAACCTGGTGCTCAGGGTGGGGGGTGGGGATGTGGGGGGAGTGCAGGAGTCAGGGCAGAGGGTGTGGGGGGGCTGGATATGTGGGGGGAGTGCAGGAGTCAGGGCAGAGGGTGTGGGGGGGCTGGGTATGTGTGGGGAGTGCAGGAGTCAGGGCAGGGTGTGCGGAGGGTGCAGGAGTCAGGGCAGAGGGCTGGGGGCATGTGAGGGGGTGCAGGAGTCAGGGCATGGGGTGT